TGGAATTTTGGAGAGAGAAATTATGTATGTATAGGAGTGCGGGTAGTAAAGCTGGAAGGCAGAGTTTGAGAACTTTGAAAGATATTTGGTCAAGACCATAATCGTTCGTTTTGGATTTAAGGGTAGCAGAGAGCAGGTCAGTAGGAGAGATGTCGAGAAAGTAAAACTTATTAGGATCAAAGGGGGTTTTAAAAATGGAAAAAGATGAACGGCCAGATGGAGATGTGGATAGAACATGGTTAGTGAAAAAAGAATTTAGCGTGTTGGGATCGATTGGATACTGTGTGCAGGTTTTCGAGGTAACAACAGAGAGGTTCTTAAGGATTTTCCATTTGAATTTAGGGTTAGGTTCTTGGGATAAAACGTTATTGAAGTATTGGGCATTGGCGCGACGTAGGGTCGTTTGTGTGAGATTCCGTAGGGATTTAAATGTGGAATAATGCTGAGTTTGTCTAGTACGTCTGTATCGTCTTCTAGCAGTTTCTCTTCTCCTCATTAGTTCTCTTATTTCTGTATTGATCCAAGGAGCGGGAGGACGTCTAAAGACACGTGTTTTTAGAGGTGCGTGACGATTGAGGAAATCGAGGAGGTTGGAGGAAAGGCATTCAACCATATCATCGATGGAGGGGAGAGAATAGATGGGTTCTAAGCAAGTAGAAAGAGAATCGAGGAAGGGGCTGATGTTTTCAGTGATTAAGGAATCTAGATCTCTCCAGGAAATTTGTTTGGGTTTAGGTGAAGGAGTAGAGAAGTTGTATGTTATTTCAATAAGATCGTGGGATGAAAGGAAGGGAACTGGAATTTGCGTAGAGGATAATAGGTTATTGATAGGTGGATTGAGTGTGATGGGTGGGTTGAAAGGGTACAATAAATAGATCTAAGGAAAAAACTAGGTCAGTAAGATATGTTCTGTCCGGAGTATTTGAAAGGAGGTTGGTGTTGAGATCACCAGCAATAATAATATTTTCGTAGAGAGGAATATATGTAAGGAGGGAGGATTCGAGAGTGGGATCGAATCGGAAACGAGGAGGTCGGTAAATAATGATAAAGAGTAGAGGAAAGGTACTAAAGGAAATCTGGACAAACAGATATTCTATGTTAGGGACCTCTGAAGGAGGAGATTTTAGAAGGACTTTGGCCGTCAAACTGTCATGTACGAACAATCCAACACCTCCACCTGTTCGTTCCATTCGATCATGACGGAAGAGGGTACAGTTGGGTAAGGAAACGGATAGGTAGGGAATATCAGGTTTGAGCCAAGTTTCTGAAACGGCTATGATATGATGGAAGTTATGGTGGAAATAATCGAGGAATTCGTTTGTTGTAACAGATCGCTCTGTTTGGATATAATTTTTTGTTTTTGTTTATTTAATGGAATTTACAACTGTATACAAATACAACAAGTAAATATGCGCAAATATAAATAATGGCATGTACAGGCTTGAAGAGTTACTACCCAGTGGTAGCACTCACTAAATAATTTTAAGTAAGAAGATCACGAGGCCATCTCCTTTTCAGACGCCTAGGAGGATTATCAGGAATCGAGAAAGAAGCAAGAGTGGAAACAAGCGGATTTGGATGGGACTGAAGTTTATCATGAAAGGATAGATATCTGGCTCGAGCTAAATCAGCGACATATGGTACATTAAGGTCTTTATGAATGGTTTTATTTGTGACAAAGTATGGAGCATTAAGAATTTTACGGAGGATTTTGGATTGTAAGGATTGGATACGATAGGAATTCGATGGTTTGGTGGAGCCCCAAAGCTCAAGTTTGGATAGAATGATTGGAGAACATCTCGACACTTGCTCTGCATTAATTACAGGACATAACATGTTCTTCTACTTAAATTTACATTCTTTTTGCTAGGAAGACGAAATTATATTGGACTACAAGATTACACATAGCTGATCAAGCAGACGTTATTCAGGCGTAGGAATATATTTATATATATTGCTTAGATTTCAGGCAGTGGACGCTTTTCTCAGTATATTGTATATTTTCTTCTGTTGGTATGTGTAGGTAGGTAGAAAAGGAAAGAGCTAACATAGTCAGCAGTGCCAGCCTTAAGGCCGGACTACCCGGACAATTGCCTTAGGTACCGACCTGGAGGCACGTTCGATGGGGGCGGCGATTATGAAGAGCGTTCGTTGGGAGGCGCCGATCATCAGGAGCGCTCACAACTTGTTAAAAATTAAATATATATATATATATATATATAAACGTATTAAAATAAATAATTGTAGCATTTCGAGGTTGGGGGTAACCCAAAGTAAAAAAAAGGTAGAACTGGGGTCAGATGGATGTAATATTAAAGGTCATTTTAGTGAACCAGGGTAACAGTATGTTGTATGTTTATTATCTCTATGAAATACAAATAGTGTTAGTTGGAAAGAGGGTCAAATATTTATTTTTTTGCAGTCTATATTCCGTCTGTTTGATTGAGCCGCTGCACATTAATTTTGATTTCTTAACGTGTTGGAGAATGCTAAGTTATTTTTCTAACGATAATTTCTGCAATAATACAAACATTAAAATAAAAGGGTATTGAAGTAAATCCTATATAAGTTTTATACTAACTTCCACGGTGTACAAAAATGTAATACAAATTTAATTTTTATACTAGAGTGTTGGAAAAGTTGAATTCATGCGTGCGACACTCCATACAAAGGGTCTCCAAACTGAGGCTCTCAAGCACCTCCAATCTGGTCCGTGAAGGTTTCTTTGATTACATGGTAAAATTTAAAAATTATTTTTAAAATACGAAATTTAGTAAATCACCCGAACATGTGGTTTTCTACTCCATACACTTAAGTGTCATGTATTCATCACATGCCATGGCTCGCGGGACCTAGTGAAGGTCTCAGTGCGGCCCGCCGTACTCGGCGGATGCCTCAATGTGGCCCGCGAGACTTATTGGAGGTCTCAAAGTGGCCTGTGGGCCAAAAAGAGACCTCTGCTCTATACCAGGGTTCTCCAAACTACGGCCCACGAGTACTTCCCGACTGGCATCGCTTCTTTGATTTCATGGTAAAATTTATGAAAAAATATATTAAATTTAGCTAATCAACAAACACAAGGTTATTACTGTATTTATTGCATGAATTACTTCTCTTAGAAGCTCATTTCACAACTGATGTGTCATTTATTGAACAAGTTTTTTATTAACCATTAAAAGCCGTGGCTTGCGGAAATTAAAAACACAATATTCACGTTCTCACCTACTGGACGATGTAGAGAAGCCTTGGCAATTGCACAGTAACAAAAAAGGGGCACTATCGCTTTAGTTGGTAATGTGAAATTAATGAAAAATATAATTTTTTACATATCTTTAATAAATTGCTAGACCCAATGTACAGCAGTTTGGAGGTTTAAGGGCCAAACATTAATGAGTTTATTTAAGATCATGATATTTTTCTTTACGCCTTCGGGCGTAACATGAAAAGCAGTATGAGCAGATTACTATGTGTATTTTATGTTTAAATGAAGTAAAAAAAAAGTAAGTTTTCTCCTTTATCCCTTTCCTATTTTTTCTTCACAACTATGTTTCATATGAAAAGAAGTATAAAGACCTATTTTTTATTTTTACTTTAATTTTGTTAATGTAATTTCACAATAAAATTTAGATATCCGAGTGGCTCTTTCCTTCCCACAAACGCCTCATTCCTATAATTTTAAAGTACGTTTTATTGTACGTAATTTTTAAGCAATTTATTACTTGCAATTCGTTTATTTTATGGTCGAATAATAGGAATCGAAAATATTTGTACCCGAAATTACACAAATTAAAACCGAAACCCAGTTTTAGTTTTCATCAAATCATATCTTCAAAATTATACTCTCTCTAGATTAAAAGTAATAGAACCTTCTGTGAGGAGAATGTACTCTCGTTTACATTTTCATAGGGGTTGATTTTGGCTGAGGTTAATACTCGAGATATATAAGAATACATGTAAAAAATTACATTCTTTCCTCGAGTTCGACTTCGTCGGAGCTTCTAGTATATCGTATAAGACACTTGAGTAAGCATTTATGCCAAACTTCAAACCTTATGAATGTTTTTGCTTCCATTTGGCTAATTTGACTGAGCAATACCGATAAAAATAAAATCGCATGCGATAGTTTAACTGCACCCATTGATAACTGAGACGTAAGCGCTTTGCGGCATTGATTCCATTCTAAAACATTTTATATAATTTGTATTGTTTAATTTTTATTAATGTCGTTTTTGGCCAGATATGGTTTTAGTTTTTTGTTCATAATTGTTAGTCTTAAGAGACCTCGTGCCAGAATAAAGTTTATTTTATTCATTGAATTGAATTATTTCGTTTATTTGAATTAGGATTATATATGTATCTATCTAAAAGATCTAGGCAACTTCAAGTCGCAAGTGAATCGGTTGCTCCTGGTTGCCACAGTGTAAAAGCTATCTTCAGCAATAGGTTGCTCTTTATAGAAGGAATCAGATGCGGGCAACGGCAGCAAGAGGTTTGCAATGTTACTTCTAATGTAAATGGTCTGGTAAATTGCAGCATGCGACCAAGCCGCAAGTGATTACATTGCTACTGATTGCTTCAGAGTAAAGCCGCCTGGTCGCCCTGCCCATACAGGTCTATAACATCCGATTTCGCTAAAAAAAATAACGCATGTTGCTAAAGCATTGCTTTGCCATTTTTTGAGTAATTGACAGCATGTCATCTTCATCATCCACTTTAATCGTCCCCATCATCTTCGTTCATGAAAATGAAAATGTGACCGATTTTGAATAAATAACCTTAGGACTCGTCGTATTTTGAAAAATAATTAAGTTTGTGATATTAACTTGAGTCCAATCGCATTTTAAAAATGATGCAGTTTTTTTTTTATTGAAAAAATAAATGTTCTTTAAAATTTTTAGTACTTCTTACTGATCTTCTATTAGTTGCTTTTACTAATAATGAAAACAAATATCTCTACTTCTTATCACTTGGTTCTGTCACCTTTAACCTTCATTCACTAACGAAATGTAAAATACATTTACAAACTGTCGGCTTGAGAGAATTTTATTTTTAGTTAATTATTAATTTATTAAACGTGTAAATGATTGTTATGAATAATTTAATAACCCATTTCTTGTGAAAAGTAGAAAATTCATTAAGCTAAGTAAGCAAACTATTATTTCTTATCATAATTCTAAACTGTGTTTACCAAAATTAAATGTAATATATAATGTAATATTCCTTTAATAGAACTTTATGGAGATTTTTAAGAAGTTTGGAAGAATATCATGTCTTTATCAGTTTATGTTTTTGTTATTATGGTTATATTTTTTTGATAAGCCTTTATTCTACCACAAAGCATAATGATACTGATTTTTATAGCTGAAAGTTCAGGAAACAACATTAATACTAAACTTTAGTGAAGTGTTTTGATACTCGAGCAGATTTATAAAATTCATCTAATGTGTTTGTTATATTCTCATTTTATTTATATTTATATCAATAAATTGTTAAATGCATTTTCTTGAGTATATCAGTCTTTTTTATGTTCTGTTTGACATTATTGAGTCATAATCCTGTTTGAAATTAGGTATTTACCTCAGAATAGTGTTAAATGTAGAATTATGTATGTTATTTACCTGTTTTTTTATAATCTTAATTTAAATATTATTCCTAACAATTTTGCGTTTTGAGTAAGTTCATGTTTTTACTTAATTCTTAAAGATTGAAATTTGTATGTAATTATCAACCCCTAATTTTTTATTGCTTTATTTTATTTTAATTGTGATAAAAATTATTTTTTATCATTAAACATTTGAGTGGCTTCATATCAAAGACCGATATCTGTCATTTTTAAAAAGTTAATTACTAACTTAGCTTCAATTTTAACCAATTATAATGATTTTGTTTCATGATTTAACTTGAACATTCTTAAATAAAATTATTAAAAACAGTTTGGGTAGAACTTATAAAATTTAGATTGACTTTTTTTTCGCTTTCTGAAAATGACAGATGTTCTTTGATATGAGGCCACTCATTTATACATTGTATTTTCTTGATCCATACATGCACTTAATCTTGGATATAAGAAGTTCTGGTTTGATTTAGATGCTAATAGTGTTATGATCAAAGTGGAATTTCTGATTTAGAATGAGTTTTTTGATTTCTTCAAGAACAAAGGTTAATGGCAACAATATTGTCATTATTATAAAGCTCAGATAACTCTTCATTTTTTCTTATTCCCCACTGATCATTTATTCTTTCCTTTCCCAAATTTCAGCAACCTCTTGCCTGGACCAACACTCTTGTTTCACACCCATAGGTAACGACTGGCCTAATAATGGTTCTATAAACTGTTATTTTAGCATCCCATGTCAGCTAAAAAATGAAGCATTTATTACTTGTTGTAGTTATAGCTTTTATTTTGGCCTGTATTTTGTTTTGGTCATTCACTAACACTCCCAGGAATTTAAATTCTTTCCCCATTGGAAAATAATGCTGATTGATTTGATCTTATTTATTAATCGCTATATTATTCCTTGAAGACTTCATGTAAAGGCTTTTATCTTCTTTTATGCTCAGGCCAAGTTGCTTCTCTGTTCTTTCGAATTCCTCAATCGATTCTGCCAGGGTCGACAATGTATGAGCGCTGATAAGAACATAGTCCGTGTATACAAGGCATTGTGTCCGTCGATTGTAAATCGTCTCTCCAGGATTGGATTTAGCAAAAAGGATTTTGCTCTCATAGCCCACTCCAATGCTAGATTAAACAGGTTTGGCGATATAGGGTCTCCCTGCCTCAAGCTCTGTTTTACTTCAAAGCTGCTTAAAAGATCATTTTGAATTTTAACTTTACACTTTTTGGTTCTTTGCATCATCTCTGTCAAAACAATACATTTTTCAGGAATCCCTTGCATTCTCATAGTTTGCATTAATTCCTTTCTGCTTGCAGAGAGTCAAGTCCGTGTTATTGATTCTGCTTAAAATCAATAAAGACATGGTGCTGATCCACTTTATGTGCGTATACTTACATCTGTCTGATAGCAAAGATGTGGTCCACTGTTGATCAATTTTTTTTTAATCCCCTTTGCTTGTTTAAATTTAGTCAAAGTCGGTATTACTGGAATTTTTATTTTCAATCTTTTGCTGTTATTTTAGAACTTGAACTTTTTCCTTTGAAACTTTATAAGTGAAGGTTTTACAGAACTTTTATTTTTAAAAAGCTTTTATTTAAAAGTTCTGTTGATTTCGCCAAAAATATTATCTAAAAAATCAGAATCAAGTTATTCATTTAAGATAAATTTTTAATTATAATCTAAGCCCAACTATTGTTACTTATCATTTAATGTAACTTTTTTATTAAAACTTAAATAAATAAAAGTTAAACTGTTACCATAAACCTGAAAATTTATTACAAAAATAGTTTCTTATAATTTTGATTTACAAACATTTTTTTCTAAAATATTTCTCAAAACTTTTAAAATAGAATTTTTTTACCATTCCCTTTAAAATGAAACTTTGTGTATTTTTCTTTTCAAATTAATTTATTCAAATTTTGAAAAGTGGATATATTAAAAGCATAGATTTTCTTACTTTTTATGAATAATTTATACATTAAACAGATGTTTAATGTAGTTTATCATTTTTAAAATATAATTATAATACTAAAGATGTAGAGGTTCCACAAAAATTCCTTTGTGATTTACTGTGGTATTAGCTGTGACTTTCTGTACGACTTAGCTGTGATAGTCAAAACTCCACTCTGGTTCGTTCTTCGAACATGTCTTAACTATTGCAACTGTGATAAAGGAACTTTATCATATTATTTTGTCTTCTATCTAGACATGGGTGGTAATAATATTTTTTACTCTGGTTCCCCTAATGTTGCCCAAAATGGCTAACGGGTAGACAAGTTTTTGAACTTCTTTTTTGCTTTCCTGTTTATTTAATAACAGTTACATCCTGAAACATCTTATTAGTATGAGGGTATACAATTTTTTTTTTAAATTATCATTTTTGTTTTGATGGATATCCTTTTTTTTTTTTTTAATGAATTTTAAATTAAATATTCAATGTGATTATTAGATATTTTCAATAATTATGAGATATTTTGGAAGTAAGTGAATAGTTTGGCGGGAATTAATTCAAGTTATAACTGAATCAACTTGTGTAATTTACTTATGATATGAAATAATCATTTTTAGGATGGCTACTGACAAAGTTACACTTACTGATGCTCTTTCAAATGTTGATGTTCTCGATGAACTTACATTACCTGATGAACAACCTTGTATTGAAGCACAACCCTGCTCTATTGTTTATCAAGCCAACTTTGACACTAATTTTGAAGATCGAAATGGTTTTGTAACTGGAATAGCTAAATATATTGAGGAAGCAACTGTCCATGCTAGTTTGGTGAGTTCTCTATTAATAAGTTTTTAGCGCTAAGTTATAAATTTATTATATTTGATCTTGTTTATAATTTATTTTAGTTTCTTATTAGCAATTTCTGACTTATTTACTACTTGCTGGTTACCTGGTCTTCATATGAGACTGGGGATACCATGGTTTTTAGCATTACCCATTTAACACCATAAGGAAATGAAAGTTCTTCATTTATTTATTATACTTTTAATGGTGAATTTTTTTCTTCATAGGCATTGAAAAATGTACTAAATAAATTCTCTGATCTTTGAACAGCCAATATCATGTCAGTAGCATCCTGACCATTCGAGATCTATGGCGGTAGTGGCTTCATTGTGCTTGGAACTTGTTGATGGAATTGGCAAAGAATATGATAAAAGGGAAATGTAGCTACTTCAAAGACTCCTACACACAGAATGTGATATGATATGATATCCTTTGTTGATATTGCTATGGATTATTGTGCTCTGTGTGACTGCTCTAACGCTTCTTCTTATTTTGCATCACCTTTTACATCGCCTATCAGCGTAGGGGAGCATCTAACCAGTATTGTCAATGTTCCCTGTTCCTTGCAAGATTTCTTTAGGACATCCTTCATCGCGGGAATCCCCAATTTCTCCCTGATTCTCTCGTTACGAATGCAGTCATGTCTCGTGCTCCCTGCGATCCTTCAGAGAAACCTCATTTTTGCAGCAGTGACTTATCTCTTCATTATTGTCATTCAGCACCCAGCTTTCTGCACCAGGCAGGTATACTGCCTTAAATATGTGAAGTTTCACACTTCTGCTCACTTCTCTTTTTCGATCTCAGTATTGCAGATCTGGTAGTATATAGCTTGCTTTGTATATCCTGTTCAGAATTTCTGAATCCACTTTCCCAGACCGATCCATAACAGTAACAAGGTAGGTGAAACCTGACACTACTTCCATCACCTCTCCGTTGCAATACACTGTAACATCTTCCTGTACCACTCCAACCTGTAGGATCTTGCTCTCTTTTGTACTGATGATCATACCCTTCCTTCCATTCGTCAACTGCCTCCTGTAATTTCTCCACAGAATCCGCAATAAAGACAATATCGTCTGCATATAGAAGAAACTGAATCACAACTGGAAGTAGATTCCTTCGCCCTAGAAATATCCTTTCTGTTTGCCTTTTGCAGATTGCAGCTATTTCATCCATATATAATGTATAATCCATGACACCTCTAGCTATGCTAAAATAGCCAGATTCCTGTCCATTCAGTCTGACTATTCCTTTTGGATTTTGGTATATGGATTTAATGGCTTCAACCAGTCTTCTAGGAACATTCTTTGCTCTTAGTGTTTCCCATATTTCGTTTCTTGGAACCGAATCAAATGCTGCTTGAAGGTCAAGGAAGGCAAAGTACATATTTTTATCATTATTCCAAGACTTTTGCATTGCATTCCTGAGGGTGAATATAAGGTCCGATGTCTGACTTCCTGGTCTGTAACCATCTTGCTCCTCTCCTATGAACGATTCCACTAGAGGTCTCACTCTATCGTGTAGGATGGATGTATACAACTTGTATACCACTGGAGACAGGCATATGGGTCTGTAGTTGAAGCATTCAGCCTGGCTGCCTTTTTTATGTATGGGAATTATGACATTATATTCCCACATTCTGTAAGGATCCCTTTCTCGTCCCAGACTTTTTGAAAAATTATTTGGAGAGACCTCACTAACTCCATCCCATCATACTTAACAAACTATCCAACTAAATTATCCCGTCCTGGAGCTTTTCCTGTTTTTATCTTTTCAATAGCTAGCTCGACCTTGTCCTCCCCTATGACCTTGTCGAAGTCAGCAACATTCCAGCGCGCCTCCTCACTGTTCACAGGATATATATGTTTGCTTATGAATTGTTTTTCATAATGTCTCCTCCATCCCTCCAGGATGCTTTTGTCCTCCGAGACCATTTCTCCTTGTTCATCTTAATATTTCTTATTCATTTGCCTGTTCGGCCTCTTAATGCTTTGATCTTTTTCCAAAATAGTTTTATGTTTTCACAGTGATCCTGGTTCAATCTCTCTCCAAATTCTTTCCATGACCTCTTCTTTGCTGTTTTTACAGTCTCCTTAGTCATATTCCTTGTTAATACATATGACTGCCATTTTTATATGGTTTTGTCCCTGCAATAATTCTTCCAGGCTATTTTCTTTTCCTTGATCAGGGCTTTTAATTCATTGCTTTACCATCTTTTGTAAGTATTCTCTTGATTCCGTAGACCAATGTAGCCGATTCCAGAATACTGCCCTTTATTTGTTTCCAAACATCTTCCAGACTAGCGTCCGCATCCAATTCCTGAAGTTTTCTCTTCAGTTCATCTTCTTACCTTTGTCTTATCTGAGGGCCTTGAAGCTTTTTTACCTCTATTCTATCGTACGCTTTTGGCTTTGTCTTGTGTTCCTTAAGTATCCTGGTGTCGACCACCAGTAGCATGTGGTCACTACCTTTCTCTGCTCCTCTAATAACCTTTACATCTGAGAAAAACCTTCCTGATGTCTCGGCCATATATAAAATAGTCAATGACGCTATTTGCATTTCGTTCCGTGACAAAGAAGGTAATTTTATGCACTGACTTGTGAGGAAATACAAATTCCCAATAAGCATGTTGTTGTTCACACAGAACTCGATCAGTCGCTGACCGCTATCATTCTTCAACCTCTTACGTCCATGTGAACTCATCACACCATGTGCTCTCGCGTAGTCATTGAGTGTTCGTGCGTTGAGGTTTCCCTTAATGAGGATACTCCTATTACTATTTTTATTTTTGGTCACCAAACGTTCTAGGTCTGCATAGAACTATTCCTTATCTAGTATGCTTGCATCCTTTGTCGGACTCTGTGTGTAAGAGCCTTAACTCAAATTATTTTTCAATATAAAGGGGATACAAGATATATATATATATATATATATATATATATATATATATATATATATATATAAACCATAAGCTTGTAAGGATATATAAATTACATCTGCAAGCTATATATCCGTAAACTTGTGCAATTACAAAACTTAAGGCATTCAACTTGTACAATGCATGGTAGGTAGTAGCTCTAACCTTGAGTATAAGCTGATGAGGAGGTATCTGGGAGAAAGTCCTGGAACTCTTATTAGGTAATTGGTTTCATCATCTTTATCTTCTTGATTGAGAACATTATTTATTGAAAAGAACTTCTTTTCTTCTCCCTGGAATAGAGCCTGAAATACAACCATTTAAGTAATTAAGGATAAATATAGTAGGAATTAATAAAATAAATTGTACATACACACACACACACACACACATAAATATATATATATATATATATATATATATATATATATATAAAATGGATCTCCCCTTTTCTGTTAAGTTGATTACTCAATTAATTACCATTTAGTTAAATTAGAATGGCCTATCAGGAATAGAACTTGAGGATTGTTAGTTTGTAAAGATGAAAACATGTTTTAAATTTCATAAACTATTCACCATTTAGCTATCTTTCATAATCAATTGTCTTATATTTAATATCAGTGAATAAAGTACTAACTTAAGAACTTCACTGTTATATTATATATTTTTATATTATATTGATTTTGTTTTCCTTTTGATCTTTGGATGGAGTTGAATAATGAATGTTTTTGTTTTGCATTATAGGTCAACTATAGACCACATGAATATCACTTTTTCTTCTTAGTCCTTTCTTTTCTTCTTCTCCACACCTCCCTCTCCCTTCCAATTTGTTGTGCCTTCCTCCCCACATCTTCTCCTTTACACTGCAAGGTCTCTTATTTGGTTCACCTGTTTCCTGAAATAGACCCTATACAAACAATCCTTGCATGTTATCCCTTTTTTTTTTCCATTTCATTCTTAATCATTTACTTATACCCCTATTAGCTAATGTTAAACCTGACATTTTATCAACAATTTTCTTATTTAGTCTATTTTTGTCCAGCCTGACCATATGTTCTTAAAATTTCAGAATGAACTTTTAGAAGAAGGGCAGGAACATGCTGTCATGTTATATACTTGGAGATGTTGCTCCAGGGCTATACCACAGCCTAAATCAAATGAACAACCTAATCGTGTTGAAATCTATGAAAAAACTGTTGAAGTTTTAGCTCCTGAAGTGAATAAACTTCTAAATTTTATGTATTTTCAGGTAAATAAATTATCTTATATTTTGATTGTATCGCACAGAATTATTTACATTACTTTATCACAGTATATATAGTGAGTATAACAGTATATATATAGTAATGAATCATTTCTCCTCTGTTTACATTTTTCAGCGTAAAGCTATTGAGAGATTTTCTGCAGAGGTTAAACGTTTATGCCATACAGAGAAGAGAAAAGATTTTGTGTCAGAGGCGTATCTCCTGACTTTAGGAAAATTCATCAACATGTTTGCTGTTCTTGATGAATTAAAAAATATGAAATCCAGTGTCAAAAATGATTATTCTACTTACAGAAGGTATTCTTCTTTTGATTGCTATTTGATTTTATTATTCTTTACCATTATGTTATTAATGTCCAGTACTTGAACATCTTCAGTGCTCAAAAACCTGATGAAGACCCACATGTTTGGGTTGAAACATCGGCACTAATAAAAACGTTAAATGACTGCGTCCTGACTATTTACCACCCATGACATATGGAACAGTCTGCTAACTTCCTTCAATAATTATGTTATTAAGTTATATGCAAAAATTGAAGACTTAATATAAATTTTTAACAAGGTTTATTCAACCAAAGTAGACTCTATTACAATCATTGCACTTTTACTTTGTTAAAAGCTTTTTCAAACCTTCAGAACACTAATTAATATCCTTAGAATCCATAAATTCATAAAAAGACAATTTATTATTATTATATTTTTTTAAAAGTCTAAAATAAATTGTTATAACCTCTGCTAAATTTCGTATCATCGTCCCTGAATATTTTTGGTCAGTATACTCTCTTCTGGTTGAGCTGATACACTTAAAGGTAAATTAAACTGTGATCTCACTTTAAAATGTTGGCCTTAAAGGCAAAACTACTATAGTCAACAAACATTATTTTAAAGAGGATAAATTAGTGTTGTCAGTCATGTATGAGAATATTGTTATCAAACGTATAACGATTATTGTAAAGAAAAAAAAAAAAAATTCAAGTAGTGTTTGTTTTATGGATTCCTTTATGACAGATTGTTTTCTCATGATATAGAAAATTTATAATTGCATCTTTTTTTTTTTACATATAATTTTAAATAGAAATTAAAATATTTTGTTTACTTCCACTCATCTGCATAAATGTACTTTTGGAAAATAAATAAATTGTTTATTTATATGAACTTACTTATTTTTGTTTAGTTTAATTATTGCATTTATTGTTTCTTATTTTGCAGAGCTGCTCAATTTTTAAAGGTTTTAGCTGATTCTCATACATTACAAGAATCCCAAAATCTCTCAATGTTTCTGGCTACACAAAATAAAATACGTGATACTGTAAAGGAAAATCTGGAAAAAATTTGTGGATATGAAGATCTTCTTTCTGATGTTGTAAATTTAGCTGTTCATATGTTTGATACACGAATGTATTTAACTCCCAATGAAAAGCACATGCTTGTAAAGGTAATATGTAGAAAGTTATCTTATTGTTATTATCTTATTGTTATCATCAGCTATTTTATTTCAAGTTTACATTTTATTTAGGTAATGGGCTTTGGTCTTTTTCTGATGGATAATGAAGCATGCAATATCAATAAACTTGATCAAAAAAAGAAATTGAATTTGGGGAAAATAGATAGGATATTCAAGGTAAGATTGCAAATACTTATTCAATATATTGTGTGATTGTAATAGACATTGTGCTTAAGCATGATGATGATTATTGTAACTTTTAGTCAAGAAACAGCACTTCTTTTTTAAATACCATACTTAAGATCTTTTATGATCTGAATTTGTAGGATATTAAATTATACATATTTTTAATAATGAAAAAAAAATCTAAATCTGATGAGGAATCTATTGATTAAGTAATTTTATTTATCTTTTAGAATCTTGAAGTTGTTCCTCTTTTTGGTGATATGCAAATAGCACCTTTCAATTATATTAAACGAAGTGCTCATTTTGATGCCAGCAAATGGCCTCTTTCCAGTTCTCCTGCTATTAGTCCTCAAGCAGAACTGATGATTCATTTGCCTCAAATTAGAGAGGATCACGGCAAATATATTAGTGAACTTGCAAGATATAGTAACGAGGTATGTAATTAATATCATAAGAAGTTTTAATTTTATGAATGATAATTTTATTATTATAATTACTTTATTTTTCTGCTTGGTTTGAGTTTATCATGGCTAAGAGCATTACTGAGACAGCCCCGGAATACTTATTTTGTAGCGATGAGGGTTTGATTCCTATCTGAGCCAATCAATATTTATTTTGTGGTGTTCCTATGAAATGAATCTTAGCATTTTTATTTTAGTTAGAACAGGGTAGCAACCAGCAATTGGTAGCTGTCAGAGTTTGGAAAAAATACTATATGAGTCACTTGCTGTATTAGCTCCCACCTCCAGTACTAGTAGTGCTTAGTAGTAATTTTAAACTTGTTGATATGAATTTCATTACTGCATTAACTTGTTTGACATGCCACTGTTTCTGGTGTGGAAAGCATATCTACCCAAATGGGCCTGTTTATTCTTTTTGCCAACACCATTATGGCTATCCAAGATCTTCTTTATCTATTTCAGATTAGAGTTGAAATACCATAATTTATTGCAGGCGTTGATGACCCTGATGTTTTACGCCATAAAACCCAAACAAACAAATTATAATTTTTTTTAAGGGACAGTAAAAAAAAATAATAATAAAATTAGTTAATCCAATTAGGAGTTGAATCCTTGCTGTTCCATACTAGGTATTCTTCAACCATTACCCAAATGCACTAGCCCATCAGATCTCACTTTATAATCTGAATGTTCTGCAAAAATAATAGTAAATTATTATTATAGTATTGTTTTATATTATAAGTAAAAGTATTATTAAATTATAGTAAAAGTAATAGTAAATTTTAACTACAAATTTTGCATATTAATATAATTCAAGATAATTGAGATTTTTTATTCTGGTTTCTGGTATTATTGCTTGAGATATTTGATCAGATTAGTTACCATACGTTGTGTAATATTTTACTTAAACTACTAGGAAAAAGCACATCTATGCTTAAATTCATATAAAAAATTAATTTTAATTAGAAAATTAATAATTAACAGTTTATTCTCCATTTCTTCATATATATATACTAACTTCTTCTAATTTGTAATGTTCAGAACTGGAGCGATGTTGTATTAAAAAATATTCTGATAACACAGTAGAACATGACTAGTAGAATAAAATATTACACAATCATATAAAATAGTTGATTATAGATGACTGCAGGCTTACAAAATTTTAACTTGATGTCTTTTGGTAATCTAAACCTTCTAATATCCAACAACTGGCCTGTAATATTCAGCCATCCCAATACACTTTCTGGCAAAATGTTTTTCCCTCATGCCCGCTGATCGCTAAAAAACTTGAACAAGGCATAATTGATGTTTTGAAATCATTATAATTTTTTTTTTTCATTTCTGAAAGTCATATTGTACTAACTCCCAGTACAATTGTACAATCCATTAGCCAATTTATAAGTAGGAGTGCTATGATACAAAAATGATTGATTGATCTACAGTTAGATCACAGTTAGTTGGCATCCCAAGGGGGAATTGAAATCATGCGTCACAAAGTTGAAACTTAACTTTTATATTTTCCCTGATTCTCCAATAGTACATTCAATATATTTCCAAATATTTGGAATTATTTTTTTAAGTAATAACACGGTTGGGGGGGAGGGGAATGTGGATTTCAACTGTGAGCCTCATGAGTTCACCCTTGTACTCCCAACTAATCACTGTCACAATACAGCTGTTGTTGATTATCTGTGATTAAATAAATGCTTTCTAACTATCCTATTTTGCATGACTTGACCTTCAGTTACTGTTTAACTCAGATGAGCATTTTTGGATGCTATATCATCACATTATTATTAAATTTTAAGGAGGTATCCTATAAAAAACATCTTAAAAATATAGTTTCGTATATGGACAACAATTATTAACTATCTGTATTATTCTCTTTTCTTCAAGAGTTTGTTTGTAGAATATAAATTAAATTTAATTGTTTTAATTATTTATTGTTTGAATTAGGTTACTACTACTTACAAAGAATCTCGCACAGATGCAGAAAATAAAGAAACTGCTGATTTAGCTTTAAGAGGCTTACAGTTACTTTCTGAATGGACCAGTGTTGTCACAGAATTATATTCTTGGAAATTATTACATCCTACTGACCATCATCAAAATAAAGAGTGCCCACCTGAGGCAGAAGAATATGAAAGAGTAAGGTTCATTGAATGATTTGAACTGAAACTACATTTACATTTCATATATGTGTATATATATATATATATTAATATTATGATTTTGCTAAGGTGGCAATTATTAACGAATGTACTTTTTTTATTTATTATTAATATGATTTATATATAACTTTGTAATGCTCTAAAATAGTTACAATGTTTTTTTTAACACATGGTTACTACAATCTCTCCCACACATAATGTTTGAGTGTATAGTATATATATATATATATATATATATATATATATATATATATACTAACTATAGTATATAAAGATATATATATAATCTTGTTTAGTGTTAACTGTAGATAAATTATAGACTGCTTTTGCTTCTACAAAACAAAATCTTGATTAATTACAATTTCAAATTAAATAATACATTAAATCTTAAAACTATATCTGCCTACAAAACAAAATAAGTTTTTATAGTTTTTAAGTACAATGAAACACGACACTAAAAACTTAATAATCTGAAACAATTGCAAACCGCACCACACGGTTATCCCCTTCCAACATGATGTGCTAAATCCATGAATTAAATAATTAACCCAAAGTTGGGGATTCGTTGGAACCTGAAGCTTCTTTACAAATATATATTCCTTTTTTTTTCACTTAAAGGCTTAAGCACTTTTTAAAGTTATATAGTCCTTTAGCTAATCTAGCTCTTTTTTTATCCTCTTAAATCTCATAAGCTATGCTAGTTCAGGTATAACTTGTATGCATTCTTGTTATGGTGTTGTTTCTAGTATATTAAAAATTTTGTGATTCACCTCAGGTTATGTAAAGAAATGGTGTGATTTTCTACTCAGACAGTTGCAAAGCTCTTATTTCTGTTTTTCCGTGATATGGGATGTATTGTTATAAACATGATTCTCTAAAAACACATTTTATTTATAAAAATAAAAAAAAATAAAAAATAACAATTTTTCATGTAACGTGTTTTTTTTTAGAATTAGAAACATTGTCTTTGTCACTGATAAATGTGGATCAATTCCCATGACAGAAATCTAGGAGAAAAACACAATTACATAACCACTTAACATGAAAAATATTTTTAGATTCATTATTTTAAATTGTGAAATTTTTATGAATAAAATATATATTTAAGCAATTATTTTTATTATAATACATTCCAGATCACGGAAAAACAAGAAATAAAAGCTTTATAACAGTTAATTGTATTAATTTTTGCTGAAAAGACGGATACTTTTAGGAGGCTGAATAGAAAATCACATAATTTCTTTACACAACTTGGCGTGAATCTTCAAGTTTTCCAATAAACCTCAATTTAATTAATTAATATAAACTTAAACCTTATTAAACGTGGTAGTTTTTCTAAAAGTGGGGTAACTTTAGTATAGTTGAATGACGATACAAACAAAAAATTGTTTGAATAATTTATTATTTTTTTAAAAGCAGAATTTAACTTAGTTTAGCTGCTCAAATGGCATTTTTAAATAGTTTTAATAATTATGAACTCCCTTTTCAGTTAAAGGATTTTTTTTCTTATTTACAGTGAAGAAATTGTTAATTACTCAAATTAAATATTTCCTTAGTTATCGCTTCCTATTCAACAAAAAACATGACTTAAAAAAAAACACAAAACTTGAATTTCCTACTTTTCTCCTGAAAATTGGCCCATTGTTAATATGAACTTTTTTGTAGATCTTGAGGTCTGCTATTGCTTCTATCAAAATTTCCCCTTGATTACGGGACACCCTGTATATATATATATATATATACAGAGAGAGTGAGAGAGAGAGAGAGAGAGAGATATCAAAAAAGTTTATGTAAACAATTGCCTGATTTCTAGTAGAAAAATAGCATATTTAAGATTTGTGTTTTTTTAAGCGAGTCTTGTTTCTTGTTGAATAGGAAGCAATAACTAATAAAAAAATATTTGATTTAAGTAATTTAACATTGTAAACTAGACAAAATGTACTTTAAAAGAAAGTAGATTTTGACATTGTTAAAACCATTTTGAGGACTGTTAAGTGGACAAACTCAGCTGATTTCCTTTTAAAAAAAAGTCCTATATTATCTGTGACTTTTCAGAAAAATTCCCTCATGTAATTAGCTTCAATTCCATATTAATTAAATTAAGGTGAATCTCAAAATTTTTCCAAATAAACCTCAACTCAATTAATATGGACATAAATCTAATTAAATGAGGAAGTTTTTCTAAAAGTGGAGTGACTGTAGTATAGTTGAAGGATGAGAAAAAAAATCATATATATATATATATATATATATATATATATATATATATATATATATATATAACGCCCTGAAACGTTCTCGCGTTTTCCACTACTACGCTGAGCTAGGGTGGCTCTTTCCCTTCTTCAGAAAACAATATTTCCTAGGTACATTCCCTTACCAAATAATCTATAATCATCGTCCGTCCTAGGCATTCAATCTCCTTCAATTCAAGTCATCTATCCACTCCCTCTCTACAAGATCTCGTCCTTTTTGACCTTTATACTCCATTCCACAAATCTACCTCATTTCAACACTCCTTTATTATTCGCTCCTCCACCTTTTGGAATTCCATCCCACTTAAAATCCGCCATGCACCATTCCTATCCATATTTAAAACCCTCTTATTGCAATTCAATCAGACGCTGGGTAGCCATTTATCATGTAACAAAATTGCATTTTTCTCTATGTATCATTTGCATATAAATATATATTATTTTTTGAATATGGAAAAGATGTTCAGTCACGTTCGCTGAGAATTTTTTTGATCAGTTTTTCAATGTATAAGATTCTAAGTCTTTGAGCAGTATTTAATTGATTGCTAATATTGAATGCACTCCTCTATATGTGTATCATCTTTTATTTTCTCCGATCAATCTACAGCTTAGGATATAGATTATATAACACTTTTATAATGTTTACAGTACTATTATTTTATTATTATAGAGACTACATCTTGCGGTCAAAGAAAAAAAAATAAAAAGAATATATATACTACACTGACAGGCAAAAAATTCCACCCACTTGATTTTTTCGTGTTTTCATCTAGAAATATTTCTGCTTTGGATTGGTCTATTGTTTTTAATGAATAAATAGGTAATCTTTTTGTTTGTTTTCAATTAGGAATGTTACTATAGAGGACAATAGCCCTTAATCCTTAATTCAATGAAATGATTCTAGATTCCAATGTTTACTTTCTATGGAATCAAAATGTTTATTCAGTATCATTAGTTCAGTGCCGTTTCTTGCAGCACATTTCTTAGTCTCCGGCTTTTAATTTTTTCAATATTAAGTTTAAATATGCCTCTTAGTGCTGAGGATGTTGTGTTTGGTGTGGCACTTATTGATGATGGACGTTCCATTAGATATGCAGCTAATGCCATCGGAGTTCCATATGAAACTTTACGAGACGCCGTCAGGCGTTTTTCGTGAAACTGGTTCTTACAATAGAAGGCCCAGTTGTAGACGGCTTAGGGCAACAGAACCACGGGATGACCGGTTTTTGACTTTGAGAATTTTAGGAAACCGGCACCTTACCGTTGTTCAAGCGATTCATCAGCTTGAAGAAGTTCAAGGTGTGCAAATTTCTGAACGTACCGCTCGGAGAAGATTAAATGAGTATGGATTAATGGCTTTTCGTCCAGTAAGAGGACCAGAGTTGACCAGAGAGAAGAAGAAACGAAAGATATGCAGCCTGTAATTTTTCCCAGAGCCAACCTTTCCAACGTGGTTCCTTAATGGTGTGGGCTGGGATTTCAATGGAGCGCCACACAGAATTGGTTGTTGTTTGTGGAGGGTCTTTGACGGCCATTCGCTATGTAGATGAGATTTTGGAACCTCATGTGTTGCCTATCCTCAATGAAATCGGCGATCGTTCTATTCTAATGCACGCCCACATGTTGCCCGCATAGTGCAGATGTTCCTTCAACAGAACAATATTGAGGTTTTAGCATGGCCAGCATGTTCTCCAGATTTGAACCCCATTGAGCATTTATGGGAAAACCACTAATTAATTTCTTTTAGAATAATAATGGTTCGTTTTTCAATTTTTTTTTTCTCTAACCTTTCTTACCCAATCACATTTTGATTATTAAAGGTAAAAAAGATTATAAAATTCCATAAATACTAAGTATTATCTACAAATACCATGTATTATATACAAATACAACTTTACAGAAATATTTTTAGATGAAAACATGGAAAAATCAAGTGGGTGGAATTTTTTGCCTTCAGTGTATATATATATATATATATATATATATATATATATATATATATATATATAGAGAGAGAGAGAGAGAGAGAGAGTGAGAGAGAAATTTATATGTATATAAACATGCATATAAACAGTTCATTATTGCATTTCATTACGTAATGGTTTGAAAATTAATTGATTAATATTAATTTGGTAATCATTACAAAGTCCTTATTCCTTTTAGGCTACACGGTATAATTATACTGCTGAAGAAAAATTTGCTCTCATTGAAGTTATCGCTATGGTCAAAGGGCTACAAGTATTAATGGCTCGTATGGAAACCGTATTCACTGATGCAATTAGACGTAACATATATGCTGAGCTTCAAGATTTTGTCCAAATTGGTTTAAGGGAGCCCCTCAGAAAAGCTATTAAAAACAAAAGGGAATTAATCAGAAGGTATGCTTCTTATTTATTTATTTTTTTATTGAAATATATAAATTTACATCTTTGCAATTTTTCTAACACTTTAGGATAAGATGGTTATGAAATGTTCTTGATTTATTTATATTCAATTAGTGATTACTGCTATTGCTTTTGTAAAGATAGTTAAAAATTTAATCTTTTTTATGTAAAAAATAAAAAGTACTTTTCAATTATAGTCTTTAAGAATATTATTCTGAAACCTAAGATGAAATAGATCATTTGGAAATATTTCGGAAGTGTATTTTACTAAATCTGCATTAGGCAAATTTTATGTTTCGAAATACTCATTTATATATTAGTAGATGGATTTAATATTATTATATTATCATTATTTCCATATTTTAAACTAAGTATTTAGATCACTGTTAACCTGTTAATATTTTTCTATCAAATTATTGTTAAAAAATATTACAGTAATTTTAATTATGAAAAAAAAGCTTCAATTAGCTAATTATCAAATATGTTTTATAATTTTACTTGGAGTGTATCCCCTGTCCGCCAAAAGGCTGACCAACCTCCATTTTACAAATTATACAACTGTTCATTTAATTACATATCGCTACTGTTACTGCATAAGATCGTATGTAAAAGCTGATTTTTTTTTACAGATGAGCATAATAACTGATTATTTATTTATTTATTATTTATTAGTATAATTTCATATTTTATTTTCCTCCTCTACTCTCCTAATACTAAATAGAGATTTGCTACTTGATGTCTTGGTTACGGTCTGTCCCGCTTTGTATTTGTGTCATATTTTGTTTGTAAAATAAAATATGAAGTCACTAAAAACTTTTTTATATGCTAGAGAAATATTAACATAATTAATTTTTTATAATTTTATATTATTAAAATATTTAAATAGCCTATTGTCATTATTTTATTTGAGCCAGTAATTTCAAAAAGTGTAAATAAGAACATACTCAAATTCATATTCAATGTTTCAATTAAGTACCTGCTTTTTTTTTTTTTTTTTTTATCCTCCATTAAAATGTTTTAGTTATGTAATAAACATTAATGCAATTAATGAATTAATTATATCTTTCTCTTTTCTAGTATTATAGTTTCAGTTCGAGAAACCTGTGCTGATTGGCAAAGAGGTGTAGAACCACAAGCAGATCCAGCTCTCAAAGGTAAAAAGGATACTGATACTGGATTTGGTATTCCCAAGGTCCCTCGTAGAAATGTTGGTAAGTTTTATCTTTTTTTTTTTTTTTTATTATACAATATTTTACTATATTCAAACTTAAAAAGTTAGCTACTTGACAATTTTTTTAGATAGAAAATCATGAGTAATTTTGTAATTAGAAAAATTTAAATTCTCTTAATTGTAAGCAAGCTTATTATTATTATTATTTTTTTATTATTATTTTTTTATTAGCAAGCTTAAGTTTCTGGCTCCTAAAATGTAATAGAAAATTTGATTGATGTTTTTAATTCATTAATTTTTCATTCATTGATTTTACAAATGCAACACAATATATTTTATTTTTAATTATATTTCCATTTACTGATTTAAAACTACTTTCAGATCAATTATTATGTGACTGGAACCCTTAAAAAAAAATCTATTAAATTAATATATGTTTATTGAATTGGTATAAAAAAAAAAGTTTGTCACAATTATGAAATCCTTTCGAAAATATGTACACCAAACCAGTTCAACTTTTCTTGAAACCTATACTTAAGGCCGGTCCACACGCTCCGTTTTGCACAACGTTTTGTCTGCGCAGTCTTAAGACGGAATGAAAACGTTGCAATTTGCAGAGCGTCCACACGGCACAGACATATCCGTATATTTTGCTCAGTTTTGTGTGAGATCGCCATGGAGGAGGTACTACTCTGGTCGATTTTCGCGATGTGTATTGTTAAAAAAAAAAGATTGGAACATCTCAGAAGTACCCGGCGTTCAAAGTGGTCGCGGAAGTGGCTTCTAAAAAGGCAGCACTTTTCCTATATCAAATTATTGCGTGAATTACGTGATGAACCTAATGATTGGCGGAACTACTTGCGAATGGACATTGACACATATACTTATTTATTATTATTTATTACCAGAGAGATGGCTTGTATATTTCGTCTTCTCCAGCCCCAGATCGAATCGATTTATTTATTTTAGCCAATTCTTTTCGGTACACGCTTCTCAATGAATTTATTTTTTTCACAACTGTCTCCCAGTTTGCCGTTACATCAATTTCTCTAAATTTATTAGCTAAAATTTCATACGCCTCCGCCTTCTTATCCCTGTCACTGTATTCTTTTGATTTTACACGCCAAACGCACGGGAAACTTTCATACAGAGCAATAAAATCAGTTAAAAACTCCCTAGAACATTGCCGAAGGTCAGCCATTGTCGCCCGACGGATTGAAACTGAGTAGAAAAACGGATCGGAAAACGGTGCTACCGTCCACATGCGCCGACTTGCCTGCGCAGTTCAAGGAAATCTGAGCTGTCTGGCTCAGTTTTACTAAGACTGTACCATCTTCCAAATGGATTCAAAACTGCACTGTTTTCCAGTCCACACGCAACGTTTTTTGAACTGCGCAGACAAAACGTTGTGCAAAACGGAGCGTGTGGACCGGCCTTTATATTCTGGTATTATTGGATTTAAAACCTTTTTTATAATGTGCCAAGTTGCTTGAGTTTCAAGATTTAACTTCACTGCTTAGTAAATTTTATAAAAAATCCTTAGAGCTTTTTTAAAAAGATATATTCCTAAACTTATTTAAAAAAAAAAAAATTATTTCTCTCTTTTTCACCTTCTATCATCAGAGATCTATCAACCTAGTACCATACTGATTAGGATTGCATTGTATTTTTTTATGTTCAGTAACCGAGAGCATACTTTTAAATGTGTTGAATTCATGATTGGTCCTGAATTTCATTGTGATTTCATATTGGAGAGTCTTCCACTTCTATTTTATAAAGGAGCTTCTTTCATCTGCAAGGATCATATACTCATTGTTGAAACATCTGAACCAAAGTGTGTCAGTATTTCGATGGATAACTGATTCTCCTTCTTTGAAATCAATTTTCTTGGCTGCTGCCTTTACTCTTATACCTTTTTTTTCCAGTAACGTCTCAAAAGACAGTGAATCATAATTTTTCTTTTGACATTGCACGTGCATTTTAATGATGTTAATGGTCCTATTAAGCAAATTCAAGTCACAAGAAATTAAATGATTAGTCAAAGTAAACATTGACATAAATAGTAGAAAGAAAAACATTCTTATAAGATTAATTATGAGAGTTTGAATTAAGACTCATGTTCAAGCACAAGGACTTTTATAACAACCTAGTAATAACCTCTTAAGAAATCTGAAACTACATCAAATGATTATTTTTCAGGTCCTTCTTCTACTCAAATGTATATGGTGAGGACTATGTTAGAATCTCTTATTGCTGATAAATCAGGCGGAAAAAGAACTTTGAGGAAAGATATTGATGGCCAGTATTTAGTTCAAATTGATCAGTTTCATAAAAATTCATTTTTTTGGAGTTATCTTTTGAGTTTCAGTGGTTAGTTCATTACTTGATGTTGCTATAGACACATATCTCATTTGTATATTTTTAACATTTAAAAACTTTACTCTTGATTTTTAGAATCTCTGCAGCAATGTTGTGATCTCTCACAATTATGGTATCGGGAATTCTATTTGGAAATGACAATGGGAAGAAGGATCCAGGTTATTATTTCAAATTTCCACTTTATGAACTTATTAACAGCTTGTTTATGTGATTCAGTTTTATTTGATTTTTAGTCTTGTTTGTTTTTATGTTACTTAAACATTAATAAATTTAAGAAAAAGTTATAACATATGACTTTTCTTATCAACTAGTCTAGTTTTGTTTTAAGTGTTTATCAAATTCTGGATATTTATATCCAAATTCCTGTTTTATTAATTAATATATTAAGTTTCTAAAACTTACTCAAATGTTAAAGTGCATTATTTTCCTTCATTTTAAAAGTATTACATTATTACTTTATTTATTTTAGGCCAATCTTTTATATTGTTATTAAAAAATGAATTGATTATATAATTATTTAAATTAATGATTCATGTATATATAACCAATTTTTAATTCATTCTATGTATATATAATTAACCTTAACTATTTTTTTTTTTTTACGGATAGTCTAATATACAGACTAACAAAGATTAAAGATAATTTCAATATTTTATAAAGAATAACTATAGCATTATGTAATAAAACATAGAATTGAAATAAGATAAAAATGGAAAACTTGTTAACATGGAAATAGTGAATATAAACGAAACAATGAATGGATTTTAGAAGGTTAAAGGAAAACATAAAATAGTAAGAAATAGCTTAGGAATAGAATTGGCCACAATATCAATAAATGTGCTAATAATTTGTAAAAGTTGGGGTATATAGAAATTATTATTATAATAAAATCAGCACCAAACACTTTTATGAATCCTTAGAATGCATCTATTGGTTAAATTACATTAACCAATCAACAAATAATCTGTGAATTGATTGTCAACACTCTAAAGCCATCATTGAATAATATTATTAAATGTTAAATTAAATGGGATAAATGAAATTTTATAATTTGAAAAAAATGGATCATGATTTAGTAAATTTTTAATGTCATGAAGCTTTATCGATGAACATCCCAATGAGGGAAAGTATAAAAATGATTGAGGAATATAAGGAAATAATTAATATAGTATTAAATTTAAAAATAGGAAATTATTTATAGAAGGATTAAAGTTAAGCATATAAGTTACTATTTTAAATTGATAGTAAATTTTACAAAAATGTTAATATTTTGCCGACAGGCAGTAGTAATAAGTGCCTATTTGTTAAATAAAATTATTGAAGAAAGTATTAATAATAGGAGGCATTAATAAAAAATAGGAAACGAAACAGAACCGATTTTAATAACAAAATGTATTGACAATCCGATTAGTAATAACAGAAAAGAAAAATATATGTAGAATTATTAATAATAATAAAAGGCTTAGCGAACCCGAAGGTTCGATGCCGACACCACCAATCGCTTATTACACACCTCCCTCCACCATTCGCCGTCCAAACCCAGTCCCTTCAGATCGGCTTTAATGCAATCTTCCCACCTTCGCTTCGGTCTACCCCTCGGACGCTTACCATTCGGCGCAGCAAATATTAACCTTTTAGGAATTCTCTCGTTACTAAGCCCAACAACTTTACAAGCCCATTTGATTCGCCGCGATGAAATTACCTCAATTATATTACCCGGATACAGTTCACGCAATTCGGCGTTGTGTAACCGTCTGAACTCTCCGGTTAACTCATCCTTCTTCGGTCCGAATATTCTACGCAATACTTTATTTTCAAAAACCTTAAGACGCTGCTCATCCCTTAATGTAAGCGGCCAAGTTTCGCATCCATAAAGAACTGTAGGCAAGATAATTGTTTTATAGATTCTAATTTTTAAGTTTCGGGACAAGAGGCGCGAACTAAGTAGTTTTGTCACAGAAAAATAACAAGCATTTCCCGCCTTCAGTCTAACCTTAATCTCTTCTTCAATTTCGTTTTTTCTAGTTATCGTAGAACCTAGATACCTAAATTTATCTACCTGTTCAAACATATTACCATCTATATCGATATCACCAGTAGTATCGCCATTTTTGCAGCTAACCATATATTTTGTTTTATCCACGTTTATTTCGAGTCCTAGTTCTTTACCGTCTTTCATTAACGTTGTCGTATTTAGTTTTATAGTTTCAACGTCTTCGCTTAACAGTACCAGATCATCAGCATAGCCCAGCACGGATGTTGTCCCGCCCAGATCCAACCCTTTCTCGGTACGCATTACCTCCCTAATGGCATGTTCTAATGCCAAATTGAACAGGACAGGCGAAAGAGAATCCCCCTGTTTTAAACCCGAACGAACCTCAAATTTTTCGGACAAATTATTACCGATTCTAACTTTATTGAGTGTCTCCGTCAAGCACATCCTGACTAGATTTACTAGTTTTTTTGGAATCCCCTGCTCGATTAGAATATTATACAGTTTCTGGCGGTCAATAGAATCGTAAGCCTTTTTAAAATCTATATACAGCTGGTGAACAATACCGTTATACTCCAATTTTTTCTCTAATATTTGCCGTAAAGAAAATATTTGATCAATTGTCGAACGATTCCGTCTAAATCCGCATTGGTAGTCTCCGATAATTTCCTCAGCGTATTCCGTGATTCGACTGGTTAAGATTGAAGTGAATATTTTATAACATACCGGAAGGAGTGAAATTCCTCTATAGTTATTACAATCCGTCCTCAGACCCTTTTTGTGAATCGGAATAAGAATAGTTTCTTTCCATTCTTCAGGTAATTTCTCGTTCACCCAGATCTTTTTAACCAATATTTTAGAAACTCCAGCTTCCCCGCATGCCTTAATTAGTTCAGTAGGAATATTATCGGTTCCCGCTGCTTTATAAGATTTTAATTTTCCGATAGCTACTTCAACTTCCTCTTTACTTGGTCCTTCTATTAACGGTTCAGCACTCTGGTACTCAGAAGGAGGACACAGATCATAATTTCCCATATTTAAAATATTGTCAAAGTGGTCCTTAAACTTATTCAATATGTCAAGCGGATCGGTCAGAATATTGTTATTATCATCCCTAATTCCAGACGTTACGGGCCCTACACATTTACGTGATTTGTTTGTACCTTTGTACATGTCTCTTGCGTTATTTTTGATTCTGTTAGTTTCTATTTCAATTATTTTATTTCTAAGATACTCCCTTTTTTTATTTTTGAGCAATTTTGTCGTTTCGTTCTTTGAGGTTCGGAAGTATTCCATATTGTCTTTGCTAGGATTATTTAGAGCTTTTAATTTAGCGGCTTTTCGTTTTTCGCACATTTTTAAGCAATCTTCATCAAACCACGGTTTGTTATTCTTATTTTCCTTTATTCCCAGGCACGATTTACCGACCGCTTAATATTAATATTTAATATTATCCCTGATCTCTACCCATAACTTGTCAATATCCTCGTGGCCCTCGTTAGGACGCTCTAAAGCTTCAAACCTATTCTTAACATCTAGCTCGAATTGGTTTCTAATTAATGGATTTTTTAATTTTTCCAAATTAAAATTCTCAAAATCGAAACGATTTTCTTTTCTCTTTTTTATATTAAGTTTTTGTCGAAGTTTCGCGATTACTAATTCATGATCCGACCCACATTCTGCTCCGCGGTAAGACCGTACATTAATTATACTACTTTTCCAGCTATGCTGTATCAAGACATGATTCGCGTTCGCGTCACCTACAATTATTTTCATGTAGTTTCGTGGTAGTTTATCATAAACCCATTCGAGTTTATCATAAAATTCACTTTTGACTTCATCGTCACTGTCTTCGGTCGGACAATGTATGTTTATTAATGCGATTTTAAACCAACGTCCTTGAAATATAGCTACCGAAATTCTATCACTAAAGAATTGTACGTCCCTCAAAGCGGATAGTAATCTATTCCTAATTAGAAACCCGGTACCCTAAACAATGATTCCCGCTTCCTCCGTACCAAATAGTGTACTTTCCTTTCCTCATCGAGCCCTCCCCTGGCCAGCGAACCTCTTGCAGAGCCACGATATCCAAATTGTACCCATTTACCTCATTCCCGACCGGTTTTAGGCCCCCTGCTGTGTTTAAACTCCTTACGTTCCACGTACCAATATTTAAATCCCTATATTTCAACTTGCGCCATGAATCCCCTAAGGCAGTCCCCACCCGGAGACCCGAACGGGGGACTAGTTTACCTCCGGATAATGAGCGTTTCACCTTAGGGAGATTCATGACTATTTGTGGTGTTTGGTAGGATGTAGAATTATTAGGATCATTAAAAAGATAAAATTCTCTATATATGGAAATGAAGGAAATAACCTTGACCCCTCCAATATTTCCTATGTGATGGAGCCTGTTTGTCAATATACATTTTAATTTTAGTTTTCTGCATGTTTTTTTTTTTCATTTTTTTTTTTTTAAGAATTTATATTTTTTTCAGAAATGCACAGTTCGCCATCAACATAATGAGGAATGTAGTGATTTGATCACAATGGAAAAAAGAATACAGGTTTGTCATTTTTACATTTCCTTATTATAAAGTTATTCTGATCTATATTATTTGCTTTATAGATTGATTAATTGATGGAACTGTGATGTTTAATCTTAAATTTGCTGGTTAGTATCAGTTAATTTTTTTCAATTATCATTTTGTCTCAAGGATAAATATTTTCTTTCAAAACCTCTCCCATATCTTCAAGTTTTTGATTTTCTTAGTCAATTTTTTACTTAATAATGTATATTAAATATGATTCTACTTAACACTGATAATAGCTTTCTCATGTGAGGTTTAAGCAAGAAGCAAAAAATATTCGAACTGAATATAACTTTTTAAACTTAAAATCCATACATAACTTTCAATTGTAAGCTGACATTACAGTACCCTTGTATTGTTATCATGGGAATATTGCTACTTTTACTATTTATTGTGCATTTGCTTACTTAATTTATTTACGGTCTAGTTATTATTATCTGACAAAAGCAAATTATTGGTCTATATACTGAAAGTATATTGCATTATTATTATAAAAAGTCATATATGGTTGACTTTAAAAATAAGTAAAAAAAAAACTAATATGGCCAATTATAATTCAAGGTCATGATATAAAAATAGCTAAGTAAACAAGTTGGTTTTAATGGCAGAAATCAATGATTGTTTGCCATATTTAAGACTAGAGCTGCTTGAGCCAGCTTATATGCTTAAAAAGAGTCTGTTATTGGCCACATTTCTTTTCTTGCCAGTGTCAATTTCTTATAGTTTGATTTTTTTCTTAATTTATTTTTGAATACCTAGAATGGTTGTCACATTTTCCCAATAAAATTTGTTGATCTAAATAATTGCTCTCATAAATTATTTTACTGTTTCCTTCAGATGTAGTTATATGAATTTAATTTAATCTTTATATTAACTGTCTTCTCTGGTCATTATACCTATATTATTATATTACTCTTAGTTGGCTTATGTTGTGTACAGGTTTGATTATTATAATGGATAAACTTTTGTTCATTTAAGACAAACTTTATTATTATTGTATTGTTTGTTCTTTTCCCTGATTCATATTTACACTGATATACTGTGGATTTCATTGTAACTACACAAATGTTGTAAGTAAACAAACTGTGAGGTAACTTGTAGCTCGTGTCCTAAGGAAGAAAGGAAAAAACTTATATTGTAGTCGGTAGTCAACAAGTTAATATATATATTGGATATATTGTTTTAAAATTTTCAATATTTCAAACATTTAAGCATATTTAAGAATTTTTATGATACTTATGTTTAGTATTAAAGATAAAGAACAATGTGTTTCATTATAGTTGTACACCAATAAATGAAAAATTAGTTTGTCCTTGGAAGCTCTCTCTAAAGCTACTTGAATATTGATCTTTTAGTATAATTGGGTTAATAAAGAAAAATTGAATGGCTTTTTTGTAAAGGTTAATTGTTTTTAACACGTATTTAAGTCATTGGAGAAACTAACATTTCTATTATTATCATAAGTCCTGAATTTTCTATATCTTCACTTGTTCTTTATAATTAACTGCTTTATTGTTTTAAAAACATTGTTCCTTTTATTTAAAATATGTAATACTTTAATTACCTGGAATTTCTGTTCACACCAAATTATTTCACCTTATTTATTTCAGTTTCCTATTGAAATGTCTATGCCTTGGATCTTAACTGACCATATTTTAAGAACAAAAGAACCCTCAATGATGGAGTAAGTATATGTTTTGTGTTATGATAAACACACACACACATAAAATTTATCTCAATTCAATGCTTTAGAGATATCACAATTATTTAAAAATAAAAATAAATTAAATTTATGTTAATAATATAAACATAACCTGTACCACTACAACCCATGAAGGGTCTTGGGTTCAGTACTATTTAGGGAAAGTATTGTTTCTTGTTCAATGGTTGTGCAAGGAGATGATTTGACTGAGATTATGCTCAACCACTAAGTTTCCTCCTTAATTTATTATTTAATTAAGGTACCCACATTTTATAGGCTGGGTGTTGTACCTCAGGGTCGCCCCAGAACAGAATTAATAATTTTTCTGTCATGAGCCGGGTATCGAACCTAAGATCATTAGCATTGGAAGTTCAGTGTCCTACCACTGAGTTACCCCACTCCCTAATAATATTATTAATGTAATTTAACAAAATTCATAAAGTCAAAATTTGTGTTTGGAGGTTGTAACCTAATATTTATTTGTGGATGTAGAAATATTTATTTTATTTCAATGAATAGAGTATGATAAATAGATTATGTAAGCACTAATTGAAAATTTAACCCAAAGATGGACTCTTGGTCACATTTAATCCATTACAAAGTACATATTTAAGTTCATATGCGAAAGTTAAAATCTGCCAGTTTGAATTGATATAATAATAAGAAAATTAAAATAATATTTACCTATTTTAAAAAATACAAATCTGTTTGTGGCAGGTCTACGGATCTAGTTTGGAATTAAAAGAGAAAAAATTGTCTCTTATGAAATGCACCTTGTTTAATTTTTTTAAATGAAATAAACCACAGTAAATATGTGAGGCACCTATTATTTGATATAATTCATGAGTTCTATGAACTTTTTTAATTTGTAACCTTTTGAAAATTTAGAATCATGCTGTTTCTTTCTCAAATTATATACATTAAGGAATAAATAAATCCATACACATTATAAGTAGTAGTAATTTGAAAACATATGCTAGTGCAAAATATAATACTGTATTTTTAGAAATTGTTTTTGAATTTAAAAGTCATTCTCTATCCCTTTCCCAAGCTGCAGTTGTTTATAATCAGTTGAAAAATCAATAAATGTAATGATTATTTTAATTTTAGGTATGTTTTGTATCCGCTGGATTTGTATAATGACAGTGCTCATTATGCCTTAACTGTTTTTCGTAAGCAGTTCTTATATGATGAAGTTGAAGCCGAAGTGAACCTCTGCTTTGATCAATTTGTTTACAAACTTAGTGAACAGATTTTTACACATTACAAACAACTTGCTTCCAGGTATAAATTGTGACTTTAAATCTTAACATGGAAAATGTTTTGCTATGATGTACTGTTCAAAATTTATCATAAGAAAGCATTTCAGTTGTATTTTGGACTGAGAGATTGTAACTGTCCTTGTTTAATTTAATATAATATAAAATTAAAACTTAAGTATATAAAAAAATGGTTATGTGGAATAAGTGTGTTTTTGGTGTAAGTGCATAATCTTCTTGTTAATTCCAAAACCTGAACTGGTTTTGCCAGTTTGAAAGAGCTGCCCTTTACAGAGCCATGAACTCTAAACGCCGATATTTCACAAATAAAGCACGCGAGTGAATAAAGGTGAAGTGAAATGAGTTGTAAAGTAATGAGTACCAGCCTGTTAATTAAGTGGGCTCCTTCAATTAATGGTCCATAGTGGTATTAGTTTTTATCCACCACTAGGCCTTTTTTTAATCCTTCTAACATATTTATATTACATATTATAAATATGCATACATTTTAACATAAAACAATTAAAAATTTAGTACAGATTTTAATTTTAAGAAGAACATAAATTTAACAATACGATTTAAATACATATTTAACTTTACATATAATATTAGTTCTATGAATGGCAGTTTCAGGTACAATGTACCAATACTTCTTATTTGTTATTGGGCCTTGTTAATTAGACTCAGGAATTTCCAAGAAAACTATTACGCAACTTTTTCCCTTCTTTTAACATGTGAATTTTAAACAGTAAGATTTACTTTTTTTCTGTTCAGTTGATCATTTCCATGTAGTTGAACTGCTAAAATGTGTGAATTTAACTCATCAGAATCAACCATATATGTAATAACAAAAAATAAATAAGTTTTGATTAGAATTCTACAACGAAGTAACTTTTTATCAAAGTTGTTTAAATTGGGTAAGTGTGGACTTTTAATTTAGATATGCTTTTTTTTTTAAATATTAAACCCAAACCCACATTTCAAATAAGGCTATTTTTATGAGATTGATCATTCAATATAGTAGTAGATAGTACACTTTTTCCCCTGGCTTAAGGGGCTTAATACCTGGAATGTTGATTATTCAAGGAGCAGCAGTTGTGAGGCAAATGTAAAAACCATTTCATTTCCAGGGGATAATTATACTGAGGTAATCATTAATAAAAAGTGAAAATTTGTCTGTGATTCACATTTAGCAATTTTTACGTGAATCATGAAAATGGACCATTGGATTGAATAGATTAGATGTATTGAAAAAATACTTCTAGAATTTTCAATTCTACTCTATGTGCTAGTAGTCCACTGTTTTACAGACAAAACATAACAGAAGGAATACTTTCTCATGGCACATATTCGTCCTACAATAGAGATCTGCAATTACCTCTGGCATCATGTTTTGCCCTGGCAACAGCAGATTAAATAATAGAAAACTGTAAAGGGGATACAGACCAGAATTTTATAAAAACATAAGAGAATTTCGAAATGGCTATATACCAAGGCTGTCTTCAAACTCCTGTAAAGCTCCTGATAGAGCGGCTTTAGATCTTGATCATATTATCTCGTCATCAGGATATGCCAAGTGTTGGATGAGTCTATTATGTATTGTTCCTCCTTAATTGCTCTGGCCACTTGCTCCAATACAATATTGAATAATACTGCAGAGAGAGAGGATCTCCTAGCCGTAACCCATTCTCCACCTCAAATTCTTCTGACAGAGAGTTCTGTATCTTTACCCTGCATCTGATGTTTTCAAGGGTCATCACACTAAAACCTACTACTATAATTAAAATATGTACTAAATTTTTAATTGTTTTATGTTAAAATGTATTCATAACATTTATGATGATATGTATGCATATTTATAATATGTGATATAAATATGTTAGAGGGATTAGTGAGTATAAAGAGTTCTGAGAAACACTGTGTGTTAATAGAAGAGGGAGGAAGATTTATTAGAATTGATAATTGTTTGGAAACAATGTGATTAAAAGGAAAGGAACTGCTTTATTACATTTATTCATATGAAGAGGTTTTGAAGTTTGGAAAGGAGGATTTTGTAATTATCTAAATCTTTTGAAAAATCAAATAGTACCAGTATAATATTTTTCTGATTCGGGTAATGTCCAACAAGGCTGATTGTGTGCAATATTGAGATCGAGATCTAAATGGGGGAGGGTTAAGGAGAGCTTTTTGCTCTCAAGGAAGTTATTAAGCTGTATGTAAACTAATTTTTTAAGTGATGTTGATGGATTGGAAAGAATGGAGGTAATTCTGTTGTCAGAAATTTCAGAGAGAACAGGAACTTTATTCATTGGAAGATCTGTAACTCTTTTCCAAGCTATTGGATATATAATTTTAATGTTATAAGTTATAAATATACAAAAGAACAGAAAAGATGACAGGAAGACATAGTTCAATGATTTTCATAGGAATTTGATTCAACCCTAGTTATTAGTTCTAGAAAGAAGTGTCTAAAAAGTTTTTAGGGGTGATATTTAGGAAATAGAAATTTTAGTTCATTGAATATAGTGTGGGAAGAGCAACATGATAGTAAGTGCATGCTTTGAAGTTTACTATTAACATTTTATTAAGGATTTTTCATTTGGATCTAGAACCAAGGGCTTGTTAAGGGGGGGTTATCAAAGAATTTTGCTTTAGCACGGTTTACAGATCAGTTTTATGGATTAGGTTAGTCAATTAAGAAAAGGATTTAGATTTTCAGAGATTAGTGGATTAAGGTTCCACCAAGAAAGATTCAAAAGTAGTATCAAATCAGATCTGAAGAGGGCAATATACTTTGACATAGAAATGAGAAAAGGAATCTAGGAAAAATTCTTCTAATTGATATTCTAAGATGAGTATTGGAAGATTTGAGGAGCATTTTTACCCTCAAACTATCATGTAGAAAAAGACTAACACCTTCACCAGTATTTACCATTCCTTATTTTTCATGACTTAGTGTTATGGGTTTTTGTCCTGCTGGAATATTTTAATAATACTAATGTTACAATTAAAAATTGTACATGAATAATTATGTGAGTTGTGTAAAGATTCATTAAGGATTCTTAAAAAAGTCCAAATTAAAAATAAATATAAAGTGCAATTATTCATTCATTTAGTATTATACTCATTAATGTCATTATCACTGTTATTTAATTATATACATTTTTGTTGTAGTATTTTATTAGACAAACGATTTCGTGTGGAATGTGTTGCTCAATGTATGGGAACTTATTTACTGCCTTACCCAAGGGCTAATCGTTATGAAACTTTGTTGAAACAACGCCATGTGCAGCTGTTAGGAAGATCTATTGATCTCAATAAACTTATAACTCAAAGAATCAATGCTGATATGCAAAAAGCTCTTGATTTAGCTATAAGCAAATTTGAAGCTGGTGATATCACAGGTGTTGTTGTAAGTATCTTCTAGGATTTTATTTTGCACTGTAATAAAATTTAAATTGATATTTTTAAACATTAACTGTAAGAGTTCAATTTTTGACATGAAAATTACACTGTACGCTTATAAAAGCATTGATATACCTCATTTAGATTCATTATACTCTGATTATTATATTATATTAGATTATTATAATCTGATTAAGAATCGATCATACGTCTGTTAAAATAATTTTTATATTTAGATGATTATCAATAGTGGATGATTATTTGTTTTGACTTCAGATTGATTTGTTTGAAAATATTCATTCAGAAAGTGACTAGGTACACTTCATTCATGCATGTCATTGAATGGTATATAAATATTTTACAGTTACAAATTATGAACAGTTATGTAGTTAACATTTTATTTTGAGATTGAAGCTTAAGCTAACCAATACATTTTACTTAAACTGTTATAGTTAACCTCTAAAATTGATATAGTTTATTAAAATTTATATTAAATGACCTAATACACGACTATGAAATTATGAAAAAAAATAATTTTGTATATATATATATATATATATATATATAAATATTTTTTCGGTTGGCGCTACAGACCTTGTAGATCTTTGACTGCGTGATGTGGTCTTCTAGACTCTAGACTTCTAAATAGTACTGAATCCATGAAGGGTTGTAGGGTATATATAACTTTCATAGATGAATCTTTTTACAATGAAGCATAATTTTTGAGCAGTGTGCCGCTGCTTTCCATTGGAATACTTAATTTAAAAAATTGCAACTTTAGAGTAATAAATTTACCAATCGTAGGAACCTTGAAATTATAACTATAAAGAATGTGTGTGATAAAAGGAAGAAAGAACTTTGTCTGCCTTCTGGCGTGGCAATCTTCTGGCAGACTCTAATTAAAAAATTGCAATTTTAGTTGTAAAAATTTATTTAAGTTAGGAGATTTGAAACTAAGCTATATGATACTTATGTATTAACAGTTGAATAAAAACTTAGTCTAGGTTTAAATATTTATGAAAGTTAATAGGTTAGAAATTTCGCTATATGATATTTATATATTAGCAATTAAATAAAAAAGTAATCTGCCTTTGTTAGGCCAAGGCAATCTACTGGCAGACTAAAATTCAAAAGTTGCAATTTAGATGCAAAAAATTGACTATAGTTCGGAGATTTGAAACTTCGCTGTCTGATACTTATATTTTAGCAATTAAATAAAAATGTAGTCTGCCTATGTTAGGCTGTGACCATTTACTGGCAGACTCAAATTCAAAAATTGTAATTTTAGGTACAAAAGTTAACCAAAGTTAGGAGGCTTGAAATTTCGCTATTCGCGATACTGGTAAATTATATGTTAAATAAAAATGCAGTCTGCCATTAAAAGACCATTGTTTTGTAGTGACAGACAGAGCTTGAAGTTAAATAACTTCTATTCGACGTGCCTTTAGCTCCCCATTTCTCTTGAGTACAGAGTGTGAAAATAGTATATGAAAGAATGAAATGTCTCATGAATACAGCCAAGTATTACTCAGATTTAAAGTAAAAATTATACAACAAATGGCACAACTACTGGCGAAAAGGAAAAGGAATCAAAACCCTGTATACATTATTGGAACAATTGTGCATTTATTTATTGAGTTCATCACCGCGATGAACGTCCTAAGAAAAGTTCGGTTTTAATATCTTTGGCTAAAACTCGTAAGATTTAAAGTAAATTATTAAAATCAGTTTTAACCCAAAAAAGGTAGGAACAAAAGCAATAAATAAAAAATAAATTTCTCGTCCCATGGGTGGCGGATGTGGGGATGGTCGGTGGAAATTCCCTAGAAGTTCCTCCCAGCTAAGTCCGATGGACTCACTGACCAACAATGAGGGGCCCTCCAGACTTGCTGGAGGCAGGGGCCCACCAGACTTGCTGGAGGGTGTGACGTAGGATTGAATGCCCTACTCATATATCTTTAGTTCACCATACACCACAAATAGTCATGGATCTCCTTAAGGTAAAACGCTCATTATCCGGAGGTAGACTAGTCCCCCATTCGGGTCTCCGGGTGGGGACTGCTTTAGGGGATTCATGGCGCAAGTTGAAATATAGGGATTTAAATATTGGTATGTGGAACGTAAGGAGTTTAAACACAGCAGGGGGGCTAAAATCAGTCGCAAATGAGGTAAATGGGTACCATTTGGATGTCGTGGCTCTGCAAGAGGTTCGCTGGCCAGGAGAGGGCTCGATAAGGGAAGGAAAGTACACTATTTGGTACAGAAGAAGCGGGAATCATTGTTTAAGTACCGGGTATCTAATTAGGAGTAGATTACTATCCGCTTTGAGGAAAGTACAATTCTTTAGTGATAGAATTTCGGTAGCTATATTTCAGGGACGTTGGTTTAAAATCGCATTAATAAACATACATTGTCCGACTGAAGACAGTGACAATGAAGTCAAAAGGGAATTTTACGATAAACTCGAATGGGTTTATGATAAACTACCATGAAACTACATGAAAATAATTGTAGGTGACGCGAACGCAAAAGTAGGAAGGGAAGAAGTTTATATTCCGACGATTGGTAAAGAAAGTTTGCACGAATATAGTAATGATAATGGGATCCTTCTGATAAACTTTGCCATCTCGAAAAAGCTGATAATTAAAAGTACGACGTTTAAAAATAAGGATATTCATAAATATACTTGGACATCACCGGATTCGCAAACACGAAATCAAATCGATCATGTCTTGATACAACATAGCTGGCAAAGCAGTATAATTAATGTACGGTCTTATCGCTGAGCAGAATGTGGGTCGGATCATGAATTAGTAATCGCGAAACTTCGACAAAAACTTAATGTAAAAAAGAGAAAAGAAAACCGTTTCGATTTTGAGAATTTTAATTTGGAAAAATTAAAAAATCCATCAATTAGAACCCAATTCGAGCTAGATGTTCAGAATAGGTTCGAAGCTTTAGAGCTTCCTGACGAGGACCACGAGGATATTGACAAGTTATGGGTAGAGATCAGGGATAATATTAAAGCGGTCGGTAACTCGTGTCTAGGAAAAAAAGAAAATAAGAATAACAAACCGTGGTTTGATGAAGATTGCTTAAACATGTGCGAAAAAAGAAAAGCCGCTAAATTAAAAGCTCTAAATAATCCTAGCGAAGACAATCTGGAATACTTCCGAACCTCAAAGAACGAAACGACAAAATTGCTCAAAAATAAAAAAAGGGAGTATCTTAAAAATAAAATAATTGAAATAGAAACTAATAGAATCGAAAATAACATAAGAGACATGTACAAAGGTATAAACAGATCACGAAAATGTGTAGGGCCCGTAACGTCTGGAATTAAGGATGATAATAACAATATTCTGACCGATCCGGTTGACATATTGAATAAGTTTAAGGACCACTTTGACAATATTTTAAATACGGGAAATTATGATCTGTGTCCTCCTTCTGAGTACCAGAGTGCTGAACCGTTGATAGAAGGACCAAGTAAAGAGGAAGTTGAATTAGCTATCGGAAAATTAAAATCTTATAAAGCAGCGGGAACCGATAATATTCCTACTGAACTAATTAAGGCATGCGGGGAAGCTGGAGTTTCTAAAATACATCGGTTGGCTTAAAAGATCTGGGTGAATGAGAAATTACCTGAGGAATGGAAAGAATCTATTCTTATTCTGATTCACAAAAAGGGCCCGAGGACGGATTGTAATAACTATAGAGGAATTTCACTCCTTCCGGTATGTTATAAAATATTCACTTTAATATTAACCAGTCGAATCACGGAATACGCCGAGGAAATTATCGGAGACTAGCAATGCGGATTTAGACGGAATCGTTCAACTATTGATCAAATATTTTCTTTACTGCAAATATTAGAGAAAAAATTGGAGTACAACGGTATTGTTCACCAGCTGTATATAGATTTTAAAAAGGCTTACGATTCTATTGACCGCCAGAAATTGAATAATATTCTAATCGAGCAGGGGATTCCAAAAAAACTAGTAAATCTAGTCAGGATGTGCTTGATGGAGACACTCAATAAAATTAGAATCGGTAATAATCTGTCGGAAAAATTTGAGGTTCGCTCGGGTTTAAAACAGGGAGATTCCCTTTCGCCTGTCCTGTTCAATTTGGCATTAGAACATGCCATTAGGGAGGTAATGCGTACTGAGAAAGGGTTGGATCTGGGTGGGACAACATCCGTGCTGGGCTATGCTGATGATCTGGTACTGTTAAGCGAAGACGTTGAAACTATAAAACTAAATACGACAACGTTAATGAAAGCCGGTAAAGAACTAGGACTCGAAATAAACGTAGATAAAACAAAATATATGGTTAGCTGCAAAAATGGCGATACTACTGGTGATATCGATATAGATGGTAATATGTTTGAACAGGTAGATAAATTTAGGTATCTAGGTTCTACGATAACTAGAAAAAACGAAATTGAAGAAGAGATTAAGGTTAGACTGAAATTTTTCTGTGACAAAACTACTCAGTTCGCGCCTCTTGTCCCGGAACTTAAAAATTAGAATCTATAAAACAATAATCTTGCCTATAGTTCTTTATGGATGCGAAACTTGGCCGCTTACATTAAGGGATGAGCAGCTTCTTAAGGTTTTTGAAAATAAAGTATTGCGTAGAATATTCGGACCGAAGAAGGATGAGTTAACCGGAGAGTTCAGACGGTTACACAACACCGAATTGTGTGAACTGTATCCGGGTAATATAATTGAGATAATTTCGTCGCGGTGAATCAAATGGGCTTGTAAAGTTGTTGGGCTTAGTAACGAGAGAATTCCTAAAAGATTAATATTTGCTGTGCCGAATGGTAAGCGTCCGAGGGGTAGACCGAAGCGAAGGTGGGAAGATTGCATTAAAGCCGATATGAAGGGACTGGGTTTGGACGGTGAAGGGTGGAGGGAGGTGTGTAATAAGCGATTGGTGGTGTCGGCATCGAACCTTCGGGTTCGCTAAGCCTTTTATTATTATTATTTAAGTATTGGCTCAGGTGTCTAAAAAAATGATATTCCTTTGGCGAGAGGTCCAGAGAGTAGGGGGTTGTGACAGAGTTTCATGTTACACGTGAGACATTTGGGTGGGTGTTGACATGCTACAAAATGGGCCCCTTCCGATTAACCAAAGATAGCTTCATTACTGTCAATTTCTGATGCATTGCATTAATTTGGTTACAATACGGTTTGGTATTGATGGTTTCTCCAGGATTTAGGAAGCTGTAGTGTATCAAACCAAATATATGTGTGTGTGTGTGTGTGTGTATATATATATATATATAATATTTCATATATTTATGGTTAATTTATATGAACAATACTGTTATTCTAAAGGGACCTAGTCCCAGAATAAAGATGATTTTCTATTTCTATATATAATTGAAGGACTATATATATTAACTACTCGACTGTTCTACATATCATGGGTGATAAATATTCAGGACACAGTCATAATAAAAATTTTTTATTAGTGCCAATGTTTCAAGCCAAACATGTGGGTCATAATCAGGGTGTGGTTTGAGCATTGAATGTTTTTAAGTACTGATCATCATATGTAAGTATAATATGTGAGTACTTGAAAAGCCTCAATGCTCGAACCACGCCCTGATGATGACCCTCATGTTTGGGTTGAAATGTCAGCACTAATAAAAAATTTGTATAATGACTGCATCCTGAATATTTATCACCCATTATGTATATATATATATATATATATATATATATATATATATATATATATATATATATATATATATTATATTCCTAGGAAAATCGATGTTCTGTCAATAAATGAACAACTAAATTTCGTGACATTTTCAGATTTTTTTGTTCACATATTATGCCCTAGTGAAAAAAAAAAAAAAAGGTTTATAGAGAATTTTCAGAAAATAATTATTACACTCTAAAGTACAAATAATATTAAATTAAGTTTTATGTTTATATATAAAACTTAAAATATCAATTAAAGTCTGATAATAGGTCATGAAATATATATATAATCATAAAAAAGAAAGTTCATTAATTATGGTAACTTTATTTTAGGAACTAGATGGCTTATTACAAGTTAATAGAGTTTGCCACAAACTTCTTAGCAAATTTCTTGCATTAGATGATTATGATGCTATGTTTCGAGAAGCAAATCATAATGTTTTGGCTCCATATGGAAGGATAACTCTTCATGTATTTTGGGAACTAAATTATGATTTTCTTCCCAATTACTGTTACAATGCAGCAACTAACAGGTATTTATTATTATCACCTGAAATAGTAGTGTGAAAATTTTAGTTATTCAATTGCATTTGGTTAAACTACCGTTATGCATATTATCATTTTGGCAGGATCAGTAAGTTAGACTAGTGTATTTCATTGTGATGCCCTAATTTTTAGGGAATTTTCTTTCATGTTAGTTTTGGAAAATACTCTTATTCTTTAACACATTTCTTTTTCTTTATTATCTAGATTTGTGAAGTGTAAAGGAATTACTTTTACCCAACCAGTTCAAAGAGACAAACCTCCTCAAATGGGTTACCAATATTTATGGGGCAGCAAACATCTGAATCTTGCATATTCCACAATTTATGGACAGTATAATGGTAACAACATTAATTATATTACCAATTTCTTCTTAATTTGATTTAGTTGGGAAGTTTTAAATTTCAATAAGTTCATTTTACAAATTTAAGTTCTTTAAAATTTCTTTTATTACCTTTGTGAGACATTTTGGGTAAAAACACCATCATCAGAATATTTTTTTCATGAATTTCAATGATTCACCATTCATATCTATATTGTTTAATCATTTCCGCTTTGCTTACTATTAAATAAACTTATTTATTGCATCATTTAAGCTGATTATTGCTCTTTCTATATATTTTTAAAGATAATATTCTGCAGGAATATGTGTGAGAAATGGTCATGATTAATAACATAATACTTCAAATAAGGACTATTGATGTGTGAATATGAGCAATATATCTTTGCAAAAAAAAAAAAAAAAAAAAAAGCATTTATAAGCTAATACCTTACTTGTGTGTCGTAATTCGGTTATTTAAAAAATAGAGACAAGTAACATCTAAAAACCAAAAAAAAACTATTTGAGGACTATATTATTAACAATCTAGATTGTTAGTAAATTAGTTTTCTAACTTTGTTACCGTTACCTTATATATCATAACTACTGCTATTTTCTAAGTCCCAGCTTTGTTACCATTCTTTATACTTCCTTAATTTATTGAATATTTAATAGTTGACTGTTGCATTATAAAGGAAGGAGATGGTCCTGGGTGGCGGTCATAAATAGGCTAAATAGTGGCAAAACTATTTTATTAAAAGCCAACGTTTCGACCCAACTTTGCAGGTCTTCTTCAGGGCTAGAATGGACAAGTTACATAAAATATAGAGAATTGTGGAAGTTACATAATAGTTAGAAAACAAAAATTATAAACAATGTGAATAAGCTTATTAAAATTATAAACAAAATAAAATTTTCTTTCTCCACATTCCTATATGTCTATTATTTCATATTATATCCTTTTTCCTTCTTTTTCAATCCCTCCCGTAGATCTGTAGAAGTATATTCACATTAGCATATATTATATATTACACTATTACAATTGTTACTATCTATTTACTTCAGCTTATTGTTACTTAGCTTACTCTGTTTATATTTGAATGTACTTACTGTTTATAATTTTAATAATCTTATTCACATTGTTTGTAATTTTTTTTTTCTAAATATTATGTAACTTTCCCAGTTCTCTATATTTTTTGTATCTTGTCCGTTCTAGCCTTGAAGAAGACCTGCAAAGTTGGGTCAAAACATTGGCTTTTAATAAAATAGTTTGCCACTATTTAGCCTATTTTTGACCGCCACCCTGGACCATCTCCTTCCTTCCTTAATTTATATATCATATATTTGCCATTCCACATATTTATTAATGTTAAGTTGAACTACCTACTTATTATTTCACTATACAATTTACCTACATATTATTATTATTATTATTACTGTCTACTATTTTCCCAATTTTTATATTTTATCTTGTCAGGCCTGATGAAGGCCTGAAAATTAAGCTGTAATGCTCTCACAAAGGAATTAAAAATAAATATAATTTATTTATTTTTACTTTATTTATTAATTTCCTTATTTATTAATTATTTTTAATTTATTTATCAATTTCCTTATTTATTAATTTCCTGCCCCCAGGATTTGTTGGGGCTTGTCATATGCGATCGATTTGTCGTCTTCTGGGATATCAAGGTATAGCTGTAGTAATGGAGGAGCTGTTGAAAATTGTTAAAAATCTCATACATGGTAATCTCCTGCAGTTCACCCGAATACTTATGGATGCTATGCCTAAAGTTTGTAAACTTCCTCGCTATGATTATGGGTCTCCAGGTATTTTACCTTTTGATAAAGAATTGAAAAATTGAGTGTTGTTTTTGTACATCCTTATCAATTTCAAATTGTATTTGTTTTTATTAAAACTATTTTTGCAGGTGTTTTAGGTTATTATCACGCTCAATTAAATGACATTGTACAGTATCCAGATGCCAAAACAGAATTATTTCACAACTTTCGAGAACTCGGAAATACCATTTTATTTTGTTTATTGATGGAACAAGCCTTATCTCAAGAAGAAGTATGTGATTTATTACATGCAGCTCCTTTCCAAAACATTTTACCTCGTCCTTATTGTAAAGGTATCTATTATCCTTTGACTTAAAGAATCATAAATTTGATTAATCATAACAAGTTTTAAAACATTTTTTTACTTTATTTACAGATGGTGAGAAGCCAGAAACTAAACAGAAAAGATTAGAAGCAAAATATGCATCATTACAGATTGTTCCTAACATCGAAAGACTTGGAACTCCTAAGGTAAGAATTTGTTGTTGTTTTTTTACCTTTTGTTAAGTATAATTGGGTGATTAAATTATAATTTTATTACATCATTTTTATTTCATTTAAACTGTTACCTAAAGAAGAAAATATATTCAATTATCATAATAGTGAAGAAATAGTTGGCTGTAGATAATATGGTTGGGAAGTTATCTTTTACTTAGATCATCCCTTCTTCCTTCTTCTCTTTTTCAGATGTTTACCGCCTTTTATATTGTTACTTTATTTATAAGAATCACTGTATATAGAATCAGATGTGTTTCTATTGATATCACTACATCTTATTATTTTCTAATTTCTCCTTTTTAAAATTCTTGCGCTTCATATTTCATTTCTATAAGTATTTTGATATAAAATACAGTTTATACATAAGCCAAAAAAATAGTTTTCTCTAATTTTCGGCAAACCTTTTAATATTACATTACGTTTTATTTTCTTTAATATTATTTAGTGGGTCAACGCTCCTTCCTTTCCCCACTGCTGAGTTGACTTGGGTTTGTAAACTGAAGCGGAATCCTGCTGGAAAACCCAATGACTTCCAGGAAACAGGGTATCATTTAGAGGCTTGACAATAGGTTACAAAATATTGTCCTGATAGTTTTTAGTGGCTGTTTTAACTCCTTTTTCACAAAAATGGAGCTTTGTGGTGCCATCAAAGCTAACTCCCACCAAACCATCACTGAGGAAGGGTGATGACCTCTTTCCACTCTTCCAATGACTTTCTAGGCTTCTTTAGAGCTGTATGCGTACACACAATCATTTTGGCGTTTAAATTTTTCTTCAATTGTTAACATTTTCTCATCGCTAAACCAAATCTTTTGATGAAGACCATTGGTGTAACGACCAAGGAGCACTTTGCACCTATCCTCTCTAATTTTTTTTTAGGGAAGTGGTTAGCCTTTGTTCTGTCATTCTTCGAAATGCACCCATCCTAAAGTCACTTTTTATTATACAAGACATTGATCTGACAGAGATTCCCATTTCTTGAGACATGATTTGTTGTTTTTGAATGGGATTTATTCTGATTCGAGCAGCCACTTCTCTCATTGTATTTACCTTTCTCATGGTGCAGGGACGACACAGTCAAGGTCTGTCACATACAGATAGGGTCTCATTATAGCTATTTATAGTGCGGTACATGAACATATGGCTGATACCCAAAGGTTTCAAAGTGTTGAAAATCTCTGACCTACATTTTCCAACTTTGTGTAAGGCACAGCTATTCGGTTTTCTTTATCACCCCACTCCATGTTAACTGAGGGAAAGACAAATACAAACTAATTGGGATTATTATCCTGACATGTAAAAAAATAACCTGATAGAGGTAAGGATTATCTAATTAATACTCAAGGATGTAAACAAAACAAAGTTCAACTTTTGTAACAGTATTTATGGCAGAACTCGGTATATTGCTATATTCATTGTTATAGAATATTGATATTTTTCTCAAAGAAAAAAAAAAAAGAAATCCATGATCTATTAACTTATCTGTGCGTGGAAGGAGAAATCTTTATTTTGACCTGAAGTAACTATTACAATCTGGAAAATAGTCAATAATTCTGTCCTAAAGGGCGTTTCATAATGAATTAGTGTAATTTATTCTCTGCACTGAAGAAATTATTATTAACATTATTATTTTTCTATACTTATCATTATTTTATTTCTACAGAACATATGATATAAACTTATAGAAATGACCACATCTTATTTATTTTTATTTGCTATTTATTTTTCTGATTCATTTATATTACTTAATATTACATTTGATTACTTTGTTACTGTTACTTTTTCACTATTTACTTTATTACTTTGTTACCTTTACTATAACAAAGGTTATATAATTATAACTTCCTGTCATTTAAACTTCTTATAATGTATTTATTAGCTGAAAACATATATTTTATTTTCATATCTTCCTCGGCTCTGATGAAGCCGAAGTGTCGGTGCAAAATAAAATAATGTTTAAAAATTTTTATTTGTTGTGTTTCTCACTGGCTTTAACCCCTAACTAACTTACTAACCATTTATACTCCTTATCTTTATGATTTGATTATTTTCTTTTTTCTGTAGCAATCCCAGATTGCACGAGAAGGAGACCTTTTAACTAGAGAGAGGTTATGCTGTGGACTTTCTATTTTTGAAGTAGTATTATCCAGATTACGTGGATTTTTGAATGATCCTGTTTGGATTGGACCACCCCCCTCAAATGGTGTAATGAACATTGATGAATGTACTGAGTTCCATCGACTGTGGTCAGCATTGCAATTTGTTTATTGTATTCCTGTTGGTGAAACCGAATTTACTGTGGAGTGAGTAAATATAATCTTAATTCTGAACTTTAAATATTATATTACCACTTTAGATTATTTAGAGATGGGTAAATTGTTTACTGTTATTTTGAGGATGACAAAAAATCAGTCTGTCTGTATGTTGCTTATTTGGCTTGCCAATGTTTTGACACTAAAATTGTTGCTAGACTAGCCAGTAATCATTGCCCTGATGATGACCCATCATATGCTTGGGTTGAAATGTCGGCAAGCCTGATTATTTGTCTTCCTCCCACTTTATATTATATCAAATTTATTAATTACATCATATTTATGTTAATATTTTTAGAGAACTATTTGGTGAAGGGCTTAATTGGGCTGGCTGTACTATGGTTGTGTTATTAGGCCAGCAAAGGCGTTTTGAAGCTCTTGACTTTTGTTACCATATTCTCCGTGTTCAACGAGTTGATGGAAAAGATGAGAATGTAAAAGGAATAGTGAGTGAAATTTTATAAATGATGATTTTAGTATTCCATGATTCGTTTTTATAAGGCTGGAACATTCTGTTACATTTTTTATATGATGCCTTAGGCCTTGCATACTCTAGATGTGTAAAACATGTGACAGAGACAAAGTGCAACAAGTAGTTAGACCCCTTTATTGTCTTATAGTATGAAAATTTGTGACAATTGCAGCCACTATTCATCTTACTACATTTGTCATACTTTTTACACATTTAATGGACGCAAGGCCGTATGTTGTACATGTTATGGAAAAGTAATCAGATAGAACAAAAAATTAACTATTACAACTAGGCCACTTGTATGGGCGTTGTACATTTTTTTAAAGGGAGGGTGAGAAATTGTGGCCTTCGGGTGATATACTGCCTGCTAAGAGTTTTTTGGTAGCCTGCCAAAAAGAATAGTCTTGTTTCTCATGATTCAGAAAGATTTTTCATAAATGGGATTTGAGTAGTGGACATATGAGGTGATATTTGTGGCAATTAGCAATTTTTTATATTTCTCTTGGTTTGTGAAACAAAAAGGTCTGAAAATATTTCTGCTGATATTAGGGGTCATTTACAGAGTTTGGAAGACAAAATCATTAGACTTCTAGACTGAAAAAAAATGTTTTTAGTAATCTTTGAAGTATTAATTTTTATTATGAATCTATAATTATTGTATAGGAATATGTCACCCTTTTTAAGTGATGTGGTATAGCTTCCTCTGTGATAGTGATGAGGATATCCTGTAATGCTTTAGTATACTCACTTTGTCTATGCTTAAAGAGCTCAGCAGGCAAGCCATAATTTCCGGGGTTTTATGATTTTTTAATGAGGCGATTGCTTCATCAATTTTCTCTTCCCTGGGAGGCTCAATAACTGACTGTCATCAGTTATTCTGGTTATCCTGTGCCTTTCTCACTGATATCCACATTAAAGAGATTAGTGAAGCGTCGCCTCCATTCATCCAGAATATTTGAATCAGCAGTAACGAGTTCACTTTTCTTATTGGTGCAGTAAGTTTGCTTCGGGCTCATTGGTTTCCTGCTGTTGTTAATACTATGGAAAAAATCCCTGAAGTTTTTGTTCCTGCTGGGCTGTTCTATTTTTTTTCTAAGACTTCGTTTTTTATGATCTCTTCCTGCAATGCAGGAAATTTTCTTCCTGCCATTTCTGCCAATATTGTTCTATAGTTTGTTCTTTTTCTCTCTGATTCATCAGTAAATAGGCCAGGTCCTTAGTATCTGTGTGCACTTTACACTCCAAATGATCTTCAACCTTTTCATTTTTCTAATGCAATTCCAAAGGGATGACCATTTAATGGAGGAAACCTTGTGTACTGTCATTCTGTAAAAACCTATCCTAAACATATCAAACCTCCATTTTTAAAAAAAAATAAAAATCAGCTTTGTCTTGCTTGAGTTTATTGATAATCTCATTGTAGTACACAAAACAAAATTGTGTTAATGGACTTTCCACTTATGAGGATCGTGCTATGATCTGCAAATGTATGAGCAAAGTAGACTTGTCGTGAAGATCAGCGTGCTGATTTGGTTGAAGGGGATTAAGTGTTAACACCTTACTTGTTAGGTATATAGCTACCAACTTCTCTAGGTTTTTAAAAAGAAAGGAGAATAGATTTACAGATTGAAACGCTTTTGCTAGGCTGTAGTCCTCCTTACTATTCTTAGGAATAAAGGTTATTGATTACCTTCTCCATGACTCTGGTATGTATCCTAATGATATAGAGGCTATAAATAATGCAAGGATCCATGTTAGTATAGTTGTCTGCGTCAATAGGCTTACAGCCTGGGAAATGAATCTCCAAAAGATGGGATTAAGTATCCTCAGAACCTTAGGTCTTCCCATCTGGTTTCTTAAGAGCACCTAATGGCTGATGACCATTATTCCCTAATATTTTTATAAACCAGGAGGCTTCAGGCATACTTTTGATATTAGAATAGAATTTAAGCTATACATTAGTTGGTGTTAACATATATTCCAAATTATTTATTTTCTTGAACTGAATATATTTTTATTCTACCTACTTCAGTTTTATTTTATTGAAATTTACAAATGTAAAAAAAATCAATCAATCAAATGAGCCTTAGATGATTTAATGATATAAATTTTATATTATTAGTAGCTCTGCATTGGTTGAATCCCAATTTTTTGTACTTGAACTTTAAATACTTTTTCATACCTTATTCCTATTTAGTGATTGTAACAATTATATTCTATTTTTGCAGCACTTGAAGCGTATGGTGGATAGAGTTCGAAGGTTTCAAGTATTGAATTCTCAAATATTTGCTACTTTAAACAAATATTTAAAATCTAGTGATGCTGACTCTATGTCTGTAGAGCATGTCCGTTGTTTTCCTCCTCCAATACATCCTTCGATTGCTCCTCAGACTATTTACTACAGACCAGATCAGAACCTACACAACTAATATATCACCTAAATTGTTGGAAATACTGGAAACTTTTATGTATAAATTTGTAAATAATTATGTTAGTACAATTTAAAATTATTTTAATTCTAATTTATGTTAATATTCTTTAAATTTATCATTATAATCTTGTATTTCATATTACTTAAGAATATTTATTTTAATTTATTAAAAAATCATTTCTCATATTCCTTACAAATGTATTATTGAATCATGTCTAAACACCTATAATACATAAATCAATTCAATAATTTTATTAATATTTTCTTTTAATTATGTATTTCATTTCACTGAAGGATTTATTTTTTTCTTTAAAAAAGTATTTAAAACTACAGAAATGAATAATAGCCTAGCAACCATTTTAATTAAATGCTTTAATTCTGTTAGTTACCATTAAGTATTAATTAATATTACTCCTGTCAGAATTGTTGAAGTGAAATAATATTTCATTTAAACAAAATGATATTGGTTATTGATATCAATAAAGGAAGAAAAAAGTTATGAATTTTCAATATCTTATTTATAAATGTCATACACATAACTGAATTTTTAACAACTATGTCAATTTTCAATTTTCGTAATTATCTTAGTTCTAATGTATTCTTAAAGAATACATTATTTTGTTATTACCTGTTCTTTCACAAATATATATATATATGCATATGCATGCATATATATATACATATATGTGTGTGTGTGTGTGTGCATTTTTTTTTCTTGGAGATACTTATTTTTCAGTTGCCAAGGAAGTAATATTAGTCTTTAATGAATTTCAAAATTAAGTCATAATTCTTAAATTGCATTTTTTAAATTTAAAGTTTTTAGATACCTTCTCTCTCTCTCCTCCCCAAGTAGATCAAAGTACTTTATAACGTTTACTAGAGCCCATGAGTGCAAAAATAAAAGATATTTTTTACATCCCTCTTACATTCCTTTGTCAATTTTTGAAACTTACTTATCTAAGACGAATAAGTGATTCTTGGCATTTTAGCCAGCTTCTACTCTATTCCTTGTCTTCTAGTTTTAAAATTATTTAGCTCAAAAACATGATATTCTATTTAATTGTATATTTTTTTGCAATCAGTGTAATTATAGGTTCACTGCATTCTTAGTTCTATTGTATTCTTAAATAATACATTATTTTGTTACTACCTGTTGTTTCACAAATACATTTATGCATATATATATATATATATATATATATATATATATATATATATATATATATATATATATATATATATATATATATATGTACATATACATATATATGTACATATACATATATATAGTATGTGTAGTGTATATGTGTGCATTTTCTTTTCTTTGGAGATACTTGTATTTCATTTGACAACAAGTAATATTAGTCTTTAATGAATTTCAAAATTAAGTCATAATTCTTAAATTGCATTTTTATAAATTTAAAGTTTTTAGATACCTTCATTCTTCCTCCTCCCCAAGTAGATCAAAGTACTTTATAATGATTTTACTAATGTTTACTCGTGCCCATGAGTGCAAAAATGAAGGATTATTTTTTATCTACCTCTTACATTCCTTTGTCATTTTTTGAAACTTATTTATCTGAGATGAATAAGTGATTCTAGGCATTTTAGCCAGCTTCTACTCTATTCCTTGTCTTCTAGTTTTAAAATTATTTAATTAAAAATCATGATATTCTATTTAATTGTATGTTTTTTTTTTTTCCAATCAGTGTAATTATAGCTTCACTGCATTTCAGTGAATGTATTCACTACATTCTTAGTTCTTATATATTCTTAAAGAATACAATATTTTGTTACTACCTGTTGTTTCACAAATACATTTATGCATATTAATGCATATATATATATATATATATATATATATATATGTATATATATATATATATATATATATATATATATATATATATATATATATATATATATATATATATATATATAGTAAGATTCTTTTTCTTGCATTATTTAAAATTATTATTATATTAGTTGCATTATTATAAAATTAAACAGTACACTATTAAATGAATTAATGGCTAGTTCACAGTCCATCTTTCTAGTTGTTTTAATTCTTGAATTACAAATAATTCTTTTAAAATAAATTTAACATTTTACACTAATTTATTTGGATATTCTCTACACTGCATCAAAATCAAATATACTGATTAGAAACATGCTGAATAGCTCAATACTGAAATCGTACACAAAACCAAAGACTGACTTTTTTGACTGATCTCTTGGGTATTTACATAGTTATAAATTAAACGTAGAATCTTCCAAGTCAATGAATTGGTATCAGTTCTTTTATATTTTAACTTTTATATTGTATGCATTGTATTTAATATTTCATTTTGCCAAAATATTATAAAATACCAAAATGTTATAAAATTACCATAATATTTGGATTTAATTCAAAAATTAGTTACATCAAATCATTCAATAATTTCACAGATTATTTTACACAGTACATTCCACATTCTAAAACTTAGTAACAAAAATCATCTTCAAACTTATGCAATATTAAATACTATTATAATATAATGAATTACTCTTTTATATTATAATATAATATGCTAATAATTACTCTAAATATTATAAAATATCCCAGACTCTTTGAAGTTTGATGTGTATAACTAGCTTTGATCGGATTGATATTATTACTATCAGTAACCAAAATAAAATCAATTGGTTGCAATAACTTAACAATCAATGCCAAATCAAAACATTTATTCAATGTATATCTTACGCTACATCTTGAAATTGTGTGGATTAGTAAAATCCAAATTCAATAAAAAAGATGTTGCCTTCCTGTATAATTTTTATTTTTTCCTCTGCACAACCGGTTTCAGTCTTTGATCAGACCTTCATCAGTCTAACTTATGGTGGTCCTCCTCTCCTCCTTGTTAAATGATGACTTTTTTTATTGAATTTAAATTTCAATCCTGTGACATCAAGCTTCAATTCAAGAATTAATAAACTCCATTATATTTATGTCAAAACAAAGGATATTTGTATATTTATTTATTTATAATATCTTTTCACTAACTATACTTTGTAGTTTATTTCATTGAATTTAATGTTTAAAATTTATTTACATTTAAAAAAGTTTTTACTCTCCCAAGTTGGATCTGTTTTATAAAATACTAAATTTAGTTCCTCCATTCTGTTTTGAAATGCAAACCTGCTAAATAGAATTATTATATACCGTAGTAATTCTTGAAGTAGTATTTTAATTTAAAATAATATAAATTTAATTAACTAGGTTTATAAATCAAACTTAAGTTGAATAAGTAATTATTATTTTCATGTTTTTAGAACAATTTTATAAATATGAAAAAGAAACGAAGATAACAGTTCATAAATTATATTTATATATATTTATCAAACGTGGTATAGTAATCATTTGCTTGAATACATTTTATATGTTCCTATTTTTTTCTCTTTGTTTTATTAACTACCTAATAATCCAATAGTAATTAATCATAGGGTTGTAGTGAATCATTTATAATTAAATTTTTGTTATTCTTTTATTTGTATATGGCTTATTGAATTTTCTCTTTCTTATTTATACTTATAAATTTTATAATTTTAGTAGCTGAGTATTTACAATGATTAGAGTTTTTTTTTATATTTTTTATTTATCATAGATATATAGATTGTTAAACAAGAAAGGTCATCAGTATTATATTTTTATACATTTCTAGTGTATTTTATTCACAATTTTCTATGCTGACATTAGATAATTGAAAATTGTAAGGTGAGTATGTTTTACCATAAATAATGGTATTCTCATTTTAAAATAGGTCATAGAATATTTAATAAGGTTTCTTCAAACTTGTATTAAAATAATACATATTTAATTTCTTTTTAGTCTTTATATATTTTATTAACTATGTATTGAATTATGACCTGTATATTTATTTACAATGGATAGGTTCTTGAATAATAATTATAATAATAATAATAATTACACTCTATTCATTAAGAAAATGCCGCTGAAATGTCCTACGCTACCAATAAACTTCGAAATTTACACACACTCTTCTACCTGTTTCTCTCACCTTTCTTTGTCCATTCATTCATAGCCATTTCTCATCATCATTTTCATGATTCAAAATCATTTTAGGCACAATATGAATTATTAAGGTAGGTGAGGACAAAATGTAGGAAAGTAGTCCCTACTCAGAGACATTCTCTTGACGAATGGACCATAGTTATACTCTAAAACTTAACTTCCCGATATTTTATAAGACCAATCAGTTTTACTCTTTAATAAATATTTGATAATAATAATAATGTATTTGTTTCTAGCCAAGTAAACTCCCAATTTTATTTTAGTAAAAACAGGACATATTATATGTAAGATTATATGAGAAACTCCAGATCAAAATATATTTTGTCCATTTCCATTCTCATTCACCAAATTAATTTTATCTTGTCAAAAACAGCCAGTGGATAACAAAACCCAAACCTTCTACAACTCAGTAACAAGAATGGCTCAATTTCTTGCCAAAAACATTCAATTCTAGTGCAAAATGAACTTTGTCAGAAAATGGATGAAATATATTTTGATTTGAAGCTCCCCATTTATTGTTTTTATTTCTACAAATTGTTAATAATTTGTTCACGTAGTAAACAAGATTTTTTTTTATTTAATAGGTTCACTCTCTTGGAATATATATTATTATCTTGATATCTATATAATATTTTTTCCAATTTGTAATTTTAAATTTATGTGTAATGTTAGTTTACTTTTAATATATTAATTTTTTTAAGAACTTCTTCTTCTGGCATTGTATCATTTTAATCATTGTTTATTATCATTCTTGTTTCGAATAAAGAGAATACAACAAAAAATTTTTAATGTATTTCATTTTTCATCTCATTTTACTTTTAAACTGTTCATCCTACAAGAAAATAGTCTGATCTTTTTTTACAGTTAATTTTATTTAGTTGATAAAGTGTTGATTGCTGCTGCAAAAATAATTAGCTTTACAGATATTTAGCATAGTTTTTGATGTTAAACATTCCTTAAGTGTACTGTGCTGATGTACTGAAACTGGTACTGGTATTGGTGGAGGAACTAGTCTGGCTATTGGGTATTGTGATCTTTTTCGCCAACCCCTGATGGCTATCTTTTAGGTTACCATCAGATATTAACCTGAGTTGGAGCACCAAGATTCATATCTCAATGGTGTTGAGGAATTCCCTGAATTAATTAATTGATCC